AACCTGCTCTTTGGTGCTCAATCGGAGCAAACATCAATTCAGTTTTTCCATGGATTGCTATTTGCTTGATTCAACTTTAAAGAGCAAGTTTTTGCAGAGCAAGAAAAAGAGCGCTCAGACATGGAGTTTTAAAGCAAGGACTGTGCTTCGGACGACCAGAGGAATGTTACGTGTGGATAAACCCCTTACACACAAGCAGGGGATGTGAGCTGCTTCAGGTATTTCATACCTTCCAACATGTCAGCCCAGGTTGCAGGTTCGACCCCCATATGGGACAGCCTTTATGTCTTCTTTAAAGTACAGAGTGGCACCAACATCAGTGCAACTTCTCGGTCCTTCCTTGCAGGGGGTTAGACTAGATGACCCCTGGGGTCCCTTCCAACTCTACAATTCTATTATTCTCCCCGTTCCTCCAAGGATCCGTTACACGCACCATATCGAGGCCGTCTTGCAAAACAGAGCGCCCCATCTCGCCCATGAGGTGTCTAGTATTATAGTAGTATATAAACACAGACAAATACAGTCTGTGTGTGTGTCATAGCTGTCAACCGTCCCTTATTTGGCGGGAAACTCCCTTATCCCAGCACCGTGTCCCGCTGCTGTCCCTTATTATGATGTCCCTTAAATTTCCCGGGTTTCAAAGGAAGCAGCTCCTCTCCCTCCCTCCCTCCCTGCCGACCAGGGAGGAGGGAGGCTCCAACTGTGTTGCTTGGCTGCGTTGCTCACCCAATAAGGAGTCTAAGAACGACTGGGGGGTGGAGCTTGCATGCCTTGTGCCGATCAAATCGGCTGCGTTGCCTGGGGACTCGCTTTTGCTCAGCGCTTCCCAGCGGAGAGGTGACGGTGGTTTCCCTTGCTGCATCCCCTTTGCCGGGTTGCTGCGCTGTGGGAACCACCGCTTGAGGCTTCATTTGGCTGCTGGCTGGGCTTTCTGCCTTTGGCTCGGAGGGGCTCAGAAGTTGAACATACCTGTGCTCTGAAAATCCCTTATTTTGGCTGCTGATCCCTTATTTTCGAGGCTGCTGGTCCCTTATTTTCAAATCTGTAAGTTGACAGCTGTGTGGTGTGTGTGTGTGAGTGTGTGTGAGTGTGTGTCCAAATGTCTCTTGCTCTCGCAGTTTAGCCTCTGGTACTTTGGTCTCTCTGAATTGCTGTACTTTCAATTGTCCTTTGATATCAGACATGGCCTTTTGGCCAACAGAGCCCTCTGCATATACAAAGCGCCTTCACCTTTCTGACAAATTCACAACTCAATTAAAAGCACAGATTTACACAGATGATGCCGGTCAGAAGGGTGGAAACAAGGACGAGAATTTAATCAGAGGGTGATTAAGTTTCACACACACAAAAAAACCCCACCACCATCCAGCCCCCATACACACAGCATGATGAACATTCATTAATTGTCATCTTCTAACAGATACAGGATGCTCATTTCTGGTTCAGTGGAAGAAATTCCATTTCCCTTGAGATTTATTTTTTTAAAAAGAAAAACACTCCCTTGCTCGTTTTCACGTAATCCAAACTATGCCCGTCTCTCAGTAGTCATACGAACAGGGGGCTTTTCGCAGAGGTAAAAGAAAACACAGGCAGTGAGAAATGCAATTCCTCCAATTGCCCTAAAGGTTGCATGGAATCAGGTTTTCCTCTCTTCTTAAATTCAACAACACACTAAAAGATATGAAAACATACTGGCTTGGCAACTTATTTTGTTCGAGAACAGACAGCCCCTTAATGGCTCTTTCAAACATACAAATTCCGCCCCACACACCCATTCCACGTGGGAGGTCACAGTTTTGAGGGCGACACCTGCCTCCGCCCACAGGTGTCTGCTTTTGAGTTTTGGGTGCACGTTGATGCCGCGGTCCCGATCTCGCAGGATGAAAAGCTTCGGGGCGCGGCCTTAAAAGTCGGGAGAGAGCCGGGCTCTTTGAAACAGGTGTTTTCGGGAAAAGTTAAAAGCCAAGAGGGTTTGGCACGGCGGCGGTGGCCCCACGGAGCGCGTCAGTGGTTGTTCTTCGCAGCCTCCTTCGCCGCGATGATCAGAGGAGTGAGGCTGGAGAGGGGCTTGGCGATTTTGAGAAACTGGTGCTGGAAAAGAAGGAGACAGGTTTCGGCAAAGGAAGAACGGCCAGCTCAAGCGATAAACCAATGGCGGTAAATTCAAAGGTGGGCTGGCATGTGGGAAGCTGCCTGAGACCTGGGTGAGAGCTTTGATCCAATGAGCTCAGTGTTGTGGGGATATTAAAGATAGTAAACGGTAAAGGGACCCCTGACCATTAGGTCCAGTCGTGGCCGACTCTGGGGTTGCGGCGCTCATCTCGCTTTACTGGCCGAGGGAGCCGGCGCACAGCTTCCGGGTCATGTGGCCAGCATGACTAAGCCGCTTCTGGCGAACCAGAGCAGCGCACGGAAACACCATTTACCTTCCCGCCACAGTGGTGCCTATTTATCTACTTGCACTTTGACGTGCTTTCAAACTGCTAGGCTGGCAGGAGCAGGGACCGAGCAACGGGAGCTCACCCCGTAGCGGGGATTCGAACCACTGACCTTCTGATCAGCAAGCCCTAGGCTCTTTCGTTTAAAGGCTCTGTCCCTTTAGAAGTGGTGCGATCCTGCCTTTAAATGCCTGAAGGAAATCAGCCCTGAGTGCTCACTGGAAGGACAGATCCTGAAGCTGAGGCTCCAAGACTTTGGCCACCTCATGAGAAGAGAAGACTCCCTGGGAAAGACCCTGATGTTGGGAAAGATGGAGGGCACAAGGAGAAGGGGACGACAGAGGACGAGATGGTGGGACAGTGTTCTCGAAGCTACCAGCATGAGTTGGACCAAACTGCGGGAGGCAGTGGAAGACAGGAGTGCCTGGCATGCTCTGGTCCAGGGGGTCACGAAGAGTCAGACACGACTAAACAACAAGCAATCTTTCTCCAAATTGATGCGTTTACCTGGAGGAGCTCTTTCGCAGAGCCCCTCTTTTCCACATCCATCTCGAGGCAGCGATTAAGGAAGTCTCTAAAGATGGGCGAAAGCTTCTCTGGGTTCTGCAGCTCGGGGGTCCCATTGGTCGCAATAAGATATAAAGCCTAAAAGAGAGGACAGAGGCAAGCGGGAAGAGAAGAAGAAGAAAAAAGAGCTCAGCTCAGAGATTTTATTTTATGCCATAATGGATACAGCAGGGGTCAGCAATCTTTTTCAGCCGTGGGCCGGTCCACCGTCCCTCAGACCATGTGAGGGGCCGGACTATATTTTGAAGGAAAAAAATGAACTAATTCCTATGCCCCACAAATAACCCAGAGATGCATTTTAAATAAAAGCACATATTCTACCCATGTAAAAAAACACCAGGCAGGCCCCACAAATAACCCAGAGGTGCATTTTAAATAAAAGGACACATTCTACTCATGTAAAAAAACACCAGGCAGGCCCCACAAATAACCCAGAGATGCATTTTAAATAAAAGCACACATTCTACTCATGTAAAAAAACACCAGGCAGGCCCCACAAATAACCCAGAGATGCATTTTAAATAAAAGGACACATTCTACTCATGTAAAAACACGCCGATTCCCGGACCGTCCGTGGGCTGGATTTAGAAGGTGATTGGGCCGGATTCGGCCCACGGACCTTAGGTTTCCTACCCCTGGGTTACAGTGTTGGAGTCCAGGGTTCGAATCCCCACTAGGCCATAAAACTCACAGCATGGCCTTGGGGCATTCACCATCTCTTAAGCCTAACCAACCTCACAGGTTTGTTGTGAGGATGAAATGGGGAGGAGAACCATGTTTAGCACCTTGAGCTCCTCGGAAGTAAAAGGTGGTATATATATATATATAATAAATAAATACCAGAGATACCAATGCAAAGTCAGACAAATGCAGGGTGGATTTGATTTAAATCAAATCAAACCAAATCAAATCAAATCGATTTAAACCCATGATTTAAATCACCAGTCAGTAAGACTTGATTTATATCATATTTTCACAGAAAGGCTCATTCTTGCTGCTATCATCTTAATATTTACAACCAGATGAAGGTTTCATTTTTTGAATAATAAATTTTCAGAGCAGTTTTTACAGTTATATCGAAAATTACTGATTTAGTTATACTATTTGAAATACATAGACAGATAATTATGAAGTTACTGTGAGGTTTAATAAGTTAACTGTTTATATTTGGAAAACTTTTCTGCTGTACTTTATTGGAAGGAGGAAAATAATCATTTCCTTAATAACAATTTATTTAACTAAAACAATAACATTATAGTGTATGTATCCAAGTTTGTTAAGTGATGTGGTTAAATAAATTAAAAAAAACAACAACCTGAGTTTTAGCACACATGAAAAACTTAAAACAAATCCTTATTTCCTGATGAATAGCCTTTGGACTATAATGTAAATTAAACAGAAAACTATCTTGAGAAGAAAAAATTCCTCCAAAAGCATTTTATTTGAAAAATCCAATTTAAATAATAAAAAAATCCAATTTAAATTTTTTAAAATTCATATATATATATATATATATATATATAAAATCATTGATTTTTATCCACCCTGGATAAATGAGAAACATTTATAATCCCCGGTGGGACAGCTGGCCGAAACAAACTGCCAGAGAGTCTGGGAAGCCTTTTCTGGAGGAAAAGCGACGCTGAAAGTCAGTTAGAACGAAAACGCTTACCCTCAGTGGATTTTCGTTGAGGTACGGAGGTTCCCCCTCTATCATTTCAATGGCCATTATCCCCAGAGACCAGATGTCCACTTTGGGCCCATAGGCTTTCCTCGTCACCACCTCGGGCGCCATCCAATATGGCGTCCCCACCATGGTGCTGCGCTTGCTTTGCTCGGGAGTGATCTGAGCACAGAAGCCGAAATCGGCTGATGGGGAAGGAGAGAAGAGGGAAATTTATAAAAAGAACAGCAGCAGCAGAAGAAGAAGCAGTTTTCCTTTGTTTTGGAGGAGTCCCGGGCAGAATTTGGCTTTCGCGTCAAAGTTTTAGACTGCAAGGTCTTATCTTCTTTAATATTTACGCTCTACCGGCTGAGCCATCCCAGGGGAAGCAGGAAAACAGAGCAGGGCTACAGCTCCTTCCCTTCTGGAACACCTCCTTCATCATCATCATCATCATCATCATCATCATCATTTATTATTTATACCCCGCCCATCTGGCTGGGTTTCCCCAGCCACTCTGGGCGGCTCCCGACAGGAAATTAAAAACACGATAAAACATCAAACGTTAAAAACTTCCCTAAACAGGGCTGCCTTCAGATGTCTTCTAAACATCAGATAGTTGTTTAGTTCCTTGACATCTGATGGGAGGGCGTTCCACAGGGCGGGCGCCACTACCAAGAAGGCCCTCTGCCTGGTTCCCTGTAACCTCACTTCTCGCAATGAGGGAACCGCCAGAAGGCCCTCGGCACTGGACCTCAGTGTCCGGGCTGAACGATGGGAGTGGAGATGCTCCTTCATGGTATACTGGGCCGAGGCCATTTAGGGCTTTAAAGATCAGCACCAACACCTTGAACTGTGCCCGGAAACGTACTGGGAACCAATACAGATCTTTCAGGACCAATGTTATGTGGTCCCAGCGGCCGCTCCCAGTCACCAGTTTCACTACCGCATTCTGCATTAGTTGTAGTTTCCGGGTCACCTTCAAAGGTAGCCCCACATGGAGCGCATGGCAGTAGTCCAAGCGGGAGATAACTAGAGCATGCACCACTCTGGTGAGACAGTCTGCAGGCAGGTAGGGTCTCATCCTGCGTACCAGATAGAGCTGGTAGACAGCCGCCCTGGACACAGAATTAACCTGCGCCTCCATGGACAGCTGTGAGTCCAAAATGACTCCCAGGCTGCTCACCTGGTCCTTCAGGGGCACAGTTGCCCTATTCAGGACCAGGGAGTCCCCCACACCCACCCGCCTCCTGTCCCCCCAAAACAGGGGGACTCTGTCTTGTCAGGATTCAACCTCAATCCGTTACCCGCCATCCATCCTCCAACTGCCATCCAACAAAGCAAAACAAACAGGGTGGTTTTGAAATTCCAGGTGTACAATTCTCCTCAACCATCCTGTCAACATACTTAGCTTGACAGAGCCATCCATCCCCAGCAAGATATTGTCACTTTTGATGTCCCTGTGGATGACTTGGTTGGCATGGAGGAATTCCAATGCCTGGAGACACTGTGGAAGAAGAAAAAAACAGGCAGCAACAATCAGTACTGCAAACAACAAAGGAGGTTTTGTGCGGGCCAGTATGGTGTAGTGGTTAGAGCACTGGACTAGGACCTAGGAGACCAGGGTTCGAATCCCCACTCAGCCTCAAAGCTCACTGGGTGATCTCGGACCAGTCACTCACTCTCTGCCTAGCCTACCTCACACGGTTGTTGTGCGGACAAAATGGGGGGCAGAGATCAACATATACCAGCTCAAGCTCCTTGAGGAAAGGCAGTGCATAAATGAAATTAGGTAAGTATATGTGTGTCACTTCTCACAGAATGCTTTTGCGGAAAATTCATTCTGGCGCATATAATGACAGGAAGGACTGCCTCTCCCCATATAAACCACCCCCCAACTCTGAGATCATCTTCTGAGGCCCTTCTTTCTGTGCCTCCTCCGTGAGAGGTCCGGAGGGTGGCAACACGAGAACGGGGCCTTCTCTGCAGTGGCTCCCTGGTTGTGGAATGCTTTCCCCAGGGAAGTTCGCCTGGTGCCTTCATTATACACCTTTAGGCAAAAAAGTTCCTCTTCAACCAGGCCTTGGGCTGATTAATATTCCACAGCGTTTAAAATTTGTTTTTGTTGTTTCATTTCAACTATTTATTTTGTGCTTCTATCCTGTATTTTTATCTTGTGAACCGCCCCGAGATCTTCGAATGAAGGGCGGTATATAACTTTAATAAATAAAATAATAAACAAGTATACTACAACTCTCTTCGCAGCTGGTCTTTGGCCATGCTGACTGATGCTTCGGGGAGGACAAAGGTTCCTCCATCACAGACTGGCAGCAGCTGTCCTAGGACTGAGGCAGAGAAGGGTCTTTTCCATTAGCTGCTACTTGATCTTTTTGACTAGCAGTGCCAGGATTTGAACACGACCCCCCTAAACATCACCGCTCTATTTTTAGACACCTGTTTAAATCGCAACATTTATCCAGCGTTCATCCTGATCCGCTTGCTGGGTGCATAAATGTCTTCCTGTTAATCTTTCATTCATCCCAATGCTTTGCATTGTGTTTCCCTGTGACTTAGAAAACTTTGTTTCTTTTTTGAAAAAAGTGGATTTGTTGTGCTGGGGCGACAGAGCACTTCGACTTACTTCAGTTGCGCACGCCTAGAGTTCCTGGAATGAGCTTGCACCCCTCCCGAAATATACTGACAGTCTGGAGGCACTCCAGGAAATTCAAATAATTCCATCTCTCTCTCACGCACACAGGAACTCCAAGCAGCACATCCCATTCGCCAGCAAAGCCCTGGACTTCCATTTGGAATGAAATATATACGTAGTTTAAGTCCTTACCTCCCGGCACACGGCGGCAATCTGCCCTTCATCCATGCAGGTCTCTGTCACCACGTCTGTCAAGGAACCGCCTGCCAAATATTCCATGACTACCCACAATTCATCCCCCACGAGGTAACTGCGGGAAGCCAGAGAAATAACAGACGGTCATTGTATCCCTTTCACCACACACACACAAAACTGCATTGCCAAACCAAGAGAGCAGAGCTATTTTGACAGCAGAGCCAGATGGTAGCGCAAAATGGACGGTGGAAAGTAACAGGCTTGCGGGTCGGATATGGATCGGGCTGGGGGAGGACCCGGGTTCAAATTCCTGCTCCGTGTTTCAGCTTCCTGAGTGGCCATCATCATCATTTTTAAATTTGTATACCGTCTTTCTATCTTACAATACTCAAGGCCGTTTACAAGCTGAAGAAACAAAAAATGTACAATCTAATGCAATACAAAAATGTGATAATAAAACTTTAAAATAGGCAACCTATATCAAAAAAGTAACATTCAACAATCATTAGAATAGAATCATAGAATCATAGAATCATAGAGTTGGAAGAGACCACAAGGGCCATCGAGTCCAACCCCCTGCCAAGCAGGAAACACCATCAGAGCACTCCTGACATATGGTTGTCAAGCCTCTGCTTAAAGACCTCCAAAGAAGGAGACTCCACCACACTCCTTGGCAGCAAATTCCACTGTCGAACAGCTCTTACTGTCAGGAAGTTCTTCCTAATGTTTAGGTGGAATCTTCTTTCTTGTAGTTTGGATCCACTGCTCCGTGTCCGCTTCTCTGGAGCAGCAGAAAACAACCTTTCTCCCTCCTCTATATGACATCCTTTTATATATTTGAACATGGCTATCATATCACCCCTTAACCTCCTCTTCTCCAGGCTAAACATGCCCAGCTCCCTTAGCCGTTCCTCATAAGGCATCGTTTCCAGACCTTTGACCATTTTGGTTGCCCTCCTCTGGACACGTTCCAGTTTGTCAGTGTCCTTCTTAAACTGTGGTGCCCAGAACTGGACACAGTACTCCAGGTGAGGTCTGACCAGAGCAGAATACAGTGGCACTATTACTTCCCTTGATCTAGATGCTATACTCCTATTGATGCAGCCCAGAATTGCATTGGCTTTTTTAGCTGCCGCATCACACTGTTGGCTCATGTCAAGTTTGTGGTCAACCAAGACTCCTAGATCCTTTTCACATGTACTGCTCTCAAGCCAGGTGTCACCCATCTTGTATTTGTGCCTCTCATTTTTTTTGCCCAAGTACAATATTTTACATTTCTCCCTGTTAAAGTTGATCTTGTTTGTTTTGGCCCAGTTCTCTAATCTGTCAAGGTCGTTTTGAAGTGTGATCCTGTCCTCTGGGGTGTTAGCCACCCCTCCCAGTTTGGTGTCATCTGCAAATTGGATCAGGATGCCCTTGAGTCCATCATCCAAGTCGTTGATAAAGATGTTGAATAAGACCGGGCCCAAGACAGAACCCTGTGGCACCCCACTAGTCACTCTTCTCCAGGATGAAGAGGAACCATTGATGAGCACCCTTTGGGTTCGGTCAGTCAGCCAGTTACAAATCCACTGAGTGGTAGCATAGTCAAGACTGCATTTTACCAGCTTCTTTACAAGAATATCATGGGGCACCTTGTCAAATGCCTTGCTGAAATCAAGGTAGGCTACATCCACTGCATTCCCTTCATCTACCAGGCTTGTAATTCTGTCAAAAACGAGATCAGGTTAGTCTGACATGACTTATTTTTCAGAAATCCATGCTGACTATTGGTGATCACAGCATTCCTTTCTAGGTGCTCACAGACTGTTTGCTTAATGATCTGCTCCAGAATCTTCCCTGGTATTGATGTCAGACTGACTGGGCGGTAATTATTTGGGTCCTCTCTTTCCCCTTTTTGAAAATAGGGACAACATTTGCCCTCCTCCAGTCTGCCGGGACTTCGCCTGTTCTCCAGGAATTCTCAAAGATGACTGCCAGTGGTTCTGAGATCACATCTGCCAGTTCTTTTAATACTCTTGGATGCAGTTCATCTGGCCCTGGAGACTTGAATACATCTAAACTAGCCAAGTATTCTTGTACTATCTCCTTAGTTATTCTGGGCTGTGTTTCCTCTGCTGAATCATTTGCTCCAAATTCTTCAGGTCGGGCATTGTTTTCTTTATCGGAGAAGACTGAGGCAAAGAAGGCATTGAGGAGTTCAGCTCTTTCTGTGTCCCCTGTTTGCATTTCACCATCTTCTCCTCTGAGTGACCCCACTGTTTCTTTGTTCTTCCTTTTGCTACAAACATACCCATAAAAGCCTTTTTTGTTGCTTTTAACCTCTCTAGCAAGCCTGAGTTCATTCTGTGCTTTAGCTTTTCTGACTTTGTGTCTACATGGGCTGGCTATTTGTTTGAATTCCTCTTTGGTGGTTTCCCCCCTTTTCCATTTTTTGTGCACATCCTTTTTTAATCTTAACTCAGTTAAAAGTTCTTTAGATAGCCACCCTGGCTTCTTTAGGCACCTTCCATGTTTCCGTCTCATTGGTATTGCCTGAAGTTGTGCTTTTACTATCTCCCTCTTAACAAACTCCGAGCCATCATGAACTCCCTTTCCTTTTAGTATTACTGTCCATAGTAATAGTATTAAATAATAATACAGTGGTACCTCTGGATATGAATGGGATCCGTTCTGGAGCCCCGTTCGCATCCTGAAGTAAACGTAAGACGTGACTGCGCGTCTGCGTGTCCGTGGGTCGCGTTTCGCCACTTCCACGCATGTGCATGACATCATTTTGAGTGTCTGCGCATGCCCGAGCGGCGAAACCCGGAAGTAACGTGCTCCGTTACTTCCGAGTTGCCGGAGAGCGCAACCCAAAAATACTTAACTTGAAGCTACTTCAACCCGAGGTATGACTGTAACGTATAAAAGTTAAACAGAAATCCACTCAACAGATACAATAAATAATTTCTAAACTATAATCAATAAAACAAAGGCAAGCCAAAGTACAGGGAGGAGGCAGTCTCTTGCTCAGCCTAACCCACCTCGTAAGGTTGTTGTGAGGGCGAAACAGGCAGAAATCTTGTGGCTATCTTCTAAAGCATGAGAGGGATGGTTGCAGGATCAATGGGGTTTTGTTTCTATATGTGACCAAGAAAGCCCCTGTGCATGCCCCCAAAATGGGCAGGTGGAGAGAGAAATGGTATATTGTCTTCTCCCCAGCTTGAAAACTGTCCCTAATGAGTCAAGAAAGGAGCCAGGGAATGTGCAGTTGCTGGGAAATTTGTGGTGAGAACACATTTGAGTATTTTGCTAGCAGAAAAGGGAGGAAACACCAGCAGAGAGAACTCCGGTGGGGCGTTCCCACATTCTGCGACCCTGAAGAGATGGCACCCCAGTCCCCAGTTTCCGTAGGACTCCTTTGGGCATGCAAACAAATCATCCTCAAATTTATGACCCACCCTTCACCAGCGAGTCCCAGGGCAGGTTACAACAATTTAAAATTGAAAACAAATGATAATTCTGGGAATGAAGTGGGTCACACGTCTCATGTGTCAAATGACAGGCTGAAGAGGCTTCTGCATCAAACATTGCCAACCTGGTAGCTTTCACATGCTTTGGACGACAATTCCCAGCGTGGCCAAAATATCCGAAGGGCACCAGCTTGGTGATGGAACATAAGCAGATTAGTTGCTGGCATCCGTCTGCAATGGAGTGCACTTCCGGGGGTGAAGTCAAACTGCTGCATTAGCAGGACTGAATTGATCCCCTACTCCCCGAGGCACAAGCCTGGGCTGCCCAGACAACAAAACCCCTTTCTCAGCCTCGCTGATGTGACCCAAAGGAAAGAGGAGCAAGATGTTTGGCACCAGCTTGGCTGAAGGAGTTACCAGAAGGAGGGGTACATGGTTTGCTCCATGGCCTTTTCTTCTCCTGAAGATGTCCCTCAAGGCAGCAGAGGTTAAGGATCAGAGATTTCCTTCTCCTAGATGGGCTCCCTTCCCAGGTGGATGAGCCCTGTCTGCTCCTAATAATAAGCAGCTACCTTTTAAGGCAGGGACGCGGGTGGCGCTGTGGATTAAACCACAGAGCCTAGGGCTTGCCGATCAGAAGGTCGGAAAGCACATCAAAGTGCAAGTAGATAAATAGGTACCGCTCGGGCGGGAAGGTAAACGGCGTTTCCGTGCGCTGCTCTGGTTCGCCAGAAGCGGCTTAGTCATGCTGGCCCATGACCCGGAAGCTGTACGCCGGCTCCCTCGGCCAATAAAGAGAGATGAGCGCCACAACCCCAGAGTCGCCCACGACTGGACCTAATGGTCAGGGGTCCCTTTACCTTTTAAGGCCATTGTCCTGTCTTCATCCAATTTGTCTACACTGCCCTTTAGTGGTCCTCAGGGATTTTAGACAGGGGATGGTTTCATCCTTACCTGGCGATGCCAGGAATTGAACCTGCGACCTTCTATGGGGAAAACAGATGCTCTACCACTGAGATATACAGTCATACCTCGGGTTACAGACACTTCAGGTTGCGCATTTTCGGGTTACAGACTCGCTGAAACCCGGGAGTACCGGAACAGGTTACTTCCAGGTTTTGGCACTCGCGCATGCGCAGAAGCGCTAAATCGCGCTTTGCGCATGCACAGAATCACCGAATCGCAACCCACGCATGCGCAACGCTGCGGGTTGCGAACGTGCCTCCCGCACGGATCACATTCACAACCCGAGCATCCACAGCATAGCTGTCAACCGTCCCTTATTTGGCGAGAAAGTCCCTTATCCCAGCCCCGTGTCCCGCTGCTGTCCCTTATTGAAGATCTCCCTTAAATTTCCCGGGTTTCAAAGGAAGCAGCTCCTCTCCCTCCCTCCCTGCCGGCCATGGAGGCTCCAATTGTGTTGCTTGGCTGCATTGTTCACCCAATAAGGAGTCTAAGAACGACTGGGGGGTGGAGCTTGCACGCCTTGTGCCAATCAAATCGGCTGTGTTGCCTGGAGACTTGCCTTTGCTCAGCGCTTCCCAGCGGAGAGGAGACGGTGGTTTCCCTTGCTGCACTGTGGGAACCACCGCTTGAGGCTTCGTTTGGCTGATAGCTGGGCTTTCTGCCTTTGGCTCGGAGGGGCTCAGAAGTTGAACATACCTGTGCTCTGAAAATCCCTTATTTGGGCTGCTGATCCCTTATTTTTGAGGCTGCTGGTCCCTTATTTTCAAATCATAGTTGACAGCTATGATCCACTGTAGCCCTTCCCCAACCTAAAGGACCCTTCTAGCAGCAGTGTGTGCTAGAGATGGGAATAGGTTCAGTGGTTGGGGCACTAGACTTGCATGCAGAAGGTGCCTGGTTCAAACCACAGCATCTCCAGCTATGGCCAGGGGTCTTCACTGTCTGAAATCCTGATGCTGCCAGCCAGTGTATGCAACACTGCGCTGGATGGACCAGTGGCCTGACTCAGTATGAGCCCCTTTCCGATGTTTCGAGGTTAATTTCCCCAGCCATCGTTTCCATCCATGAATTTTCACAGGTGCCCCCATCTCTTAACGAAGATATCCTGGTGCTTCTGTCCTCCTCCCCACCGAGCCAGTGTGGTGTAGTGGTTAAGAGCAGTAGTCTCATAATCTGGTGAACCGGGTTCGCTTCCCCGCTCCTCCACATGCAGCTGCTGGGTGACCTTGGGCCAGTCACACTTCTCTGAAGTCTCTCAGCTCCACTCACCTCACAGAGTGTTTGTTGTGGGGGAGGAAGGGAAAGGAGATTGTTGGCTGCTTTGAGACTCCTTCAGGTAGTGATAAAGCGGGATATCAAATCCAAACTCCTCCTCTTCTTCTTCTTCTTCTTCTTCTTCTTCTTCTTCTTCTCCTTTTTCTTCTTATTGCTGTTTTTCAGAATAGGCTAAAACTTAATGAATTTAAGTTCATTCATTTAAATGAATGAACAGGGACTGGGCTGCCGGAGAACTGTGACAGCTAAGGGCATCTGTGACGGCTGCTTCGGGGACGGCCGCAGCAGGGGACTTTTTCAGTCCGGAAAATCTCAGCACAAACATGTTTCTGGCAAAGGCAGCTCAACTGGCCCCACTGCAACTTCTGCCCCGCTGGGAAAGGAGGAAGCGAAGCGCTCAGAGCAGCAGCCACTTCTCCTCCCCGGAGGAAAGAAAACGAGCCAAAAGCAGCAGGTATAGAAGCTAGCAGGAAGATGATGCTCCCCCTTCTGACCTGAACTCACAGCATCCAATGTCTTAGGACCGTATGGTCACCAGCTTCTCAATAATTTTTTATAAGAGGTCATCAATTCCCCTTTCTAAAAAAAAAAACAGATTATTGTCAACCTGACAACTGCCATCTGTTCCCGTGGGCCTCTTTCTTACTGTTATGACTTCCAACTGATTCTTTTCTTCCTCGGCTACTCTTCCACGTTTTTGCAAACGTGATCCTCTGCAGTGTTAAAGTCCATAGTGCTTGAACGGGATTAAATAGATTGCTAGGATAGCTCAGTTGGTAGAGCATGCAACCCTTAATCTCAGGGTTGTGAGTTCGAGACACACTTTGCGCAAAAGTTCCCTGCATTGCAGGGGGTTGAAGGAGATGACGATTGTGGTCCCTTCCAACTCTACAATTCTACGATTCTAATATTATTTATTGGATTGCTCACATTGGTTAATGATCCATTGCCATGTTCGCCGAACAATCTCCAATCACATACTTCATTCTATCATTCAATATTAAAAGGTAAAGGTAAAGGGACCCCTGACTGTTAGGTCCAGTCGCAGACGACTCTGGGGTTGCAGCGCTCATCTCGCTCTATAGGCTGAGGGAGCCAGCGTTTCGGGTCATGTGGCTAGCATGACTAAGCAGCCTCTGGCGAACCAGAGCAGCGCATGGAAACGCCGTTTACCTTCCCGCCAGAGCAGTACCTATTTATCTACTTGCACTTTGACGTGCTTTCAAACTGCTAGGTGGGCAGGAGCAGGGACTGAGCAACGGGAGCTCACCCCGTTGCAGGGATTCGAACCGCTGACCTTCTGATCGGCAAGCCCTAGGCTCTGTGGTTTAGACCACAGCACCACCCACTATTACCCTATATTACTCTATTCCCAAAATGTCTAAACGTGGCCACTGCTGTTCCAGCCAGCCAGCCATGCCCCCTTCTGCCATACTCCAGTCCACCTCCAAAGTTTTTTGTTCCCTCCCCATTAACAGTCAGGCCTGATCCAACAGGCTCTTATGTTCTTAATCAAAGTCCACTAAAGTTGGAGGCTGCATCAAGTTAAGAAGATCTTCCCGTCTCCTGAAGAGATTATCCTTTGTTATTGCGCAAAGCTACTATCCTACTTAGGAGCTGGTGAAACTACTGGTGGGGAAAATAAGACACACATTTTGTGGGGAAACCACTGGTCTTCAGAAGCTGCTAAAAAAATGCTCCTCTCAACTTTTGAACTGTGGTTTAATTTTAAAAGACAGTTTGGGCCAACATGAGATGTGTACATTTCTTGCTCAAGAGAATGTTAATCAGGGACGCCATTGTTCTCCAAGTAAATCATCTCCCCCCCCCCTTTTTTTAAGTGCATGTAACTTGCATAGTAACAGCAGATATTCTCTGAGGCTCTTTATGCGGCCAAAACTGCATCATCCACACACTAGAAGGAGGCATCAACAGATATGATATACAAAAACTAAAATTAGGGGGGTGGAAACTTGGATATGTGCAAAGCATACAGATATGAACTTCAGGCCTTTTTGTGGTTGGGATTCAGTGTTGCAGAGGCAGGCAGACTTGAGGCTTGTGGAATTCGCTTTATTTTATTTTTTTATTAGACACTCAAGATTCACCAAATGGAAGTCAGATGCCAAAGAGAGGCACTTGGAATTAATGAATTCCTAACCGAGGAATTCATTTCAAATGCCAAAACTGAACAGAGCTCACTCCAAAGTTCTGCCATTTTTTCAATTTGCTGCCATTTTTTCAGTTTGCTGTTGTCATTTTGTAGTTGCCATTACTAAGCAATGGTGGGTCAGAAATCAGCACTGATCTACAGTGGTACCTCGGGTTACATATAGAATCATAGAATCATAGAGTTGGAAGAGACCACAAGGGCCATCGAGTCCAACCCCCTGCCAAGCAGGAAACACCATCAGAGCACTCCTGACATATGGTTGTCAAGCCTCTGCTTAAAGACCTCCAAAGAAGGAGACTCCACCACACTCCTTGGCAGCAAATTCCACTGTCGAACAGCTCTTACTGTCAGGAAGTTCTTCCTAATGTTTAGGTGGAAACTTCTTTCTTGTAGTTTGGATCCATTGCTCCGTGTCCGCTTCTCTGGAGCAGCAAAAACAACCTTTCTCCCTCCTCTATGTGACATCCTTTTATATATTTGAACATGGCTATCATATCACCCCTTAACCTCCTCTTCTCCAGGCTAAACATGCCCAGCTCCCTTAGCCGTTCCTCATAAGGCATCGTTTCCAGGCCTTTGACCATTTTGGTTGCCCTCCTCTGGACACGTTCCAGTTTGTCAGTGTCCTTCTTGAACTGTGGTGCCCAGAACTGGACACAGTACTCCAGGTGAGGTCTGACCAGAGCAGAATACAGTGGCACTATTACTTCCCTTGATCTAGATGCTATACTCCTATTGATGCAGCCCAGAATTGCATTGGCTTTTTTTAGCTGCGACGTCACACTGTTGGCTCATGTCAAGTTTGTGGTCAACCAAGACTCCTAGATCCTTTTCACATGTACTGCTCTCAAGCCAGGTGTCACCCATCTTGTATTTGTGCCTCTCATTTTTTTTGCCCAAGTGCAATACTTTACATTTCTCCCTGTTAAAATTCATCTTGTTTGTTTTTGCCCATTTCTCTCATCTGTCAAGGTCGTTTTGAAGTGTGATCCTGTCCTCTGGGTTGTTAGCCACCCCTCCCAGTTTGGTGTCATCTGCAAATTTGATCAGGATGCCCTTGAATTCCTATGCTTCAGGTTACATACGCTTCAGGATACATACGCTTAAGGTTACAGACTCCGCTAACCCAGAAATAGTACCTCGGGTTAAGAACTTTGCTTCAGGATGAGAACAGAAATCGTGCTCCGGCGGCACAGCGGCAGCAGGAGGCCCCATTAGCTAAAGTGGTGCTTCAGGTTAAGAACAGTTTCAGGTTAAGAACAGACCTCCGGAACGAATTAAGTAATTAACCCAAGGTACCATTGTATTCCAATCATATTTTGTCCCTAACCAAGCCTGAGCACAAGAGCCCTTCTCTCGTCCTACAGTTTCCAAGAACTGGCATTCAAAAACATTACTGCCTCCAGCCTTGTGTGTAGAACATAGCAATCACAGCTAGTGGTCATCAATAGCCCTCTCCTCCTTGAATTTGTCCAATCCTCTTTTAAAGCCACCCAAGCTGCAGCCACCACTACTTCCTGAGGCAGAGAGTTCCACAGTATAACAACGCGCTTCGTAAATAAGTGCTTTCTTTCATCTGCCCTGAATCTTGTACACATGACATTCCCTATTGGGGAAAAAGTGCGAATACCTGTCCAGATAGTTGACAATGTTGGGGTTCTTGTTTTCCCTCATGACGAGAATTTCATTAATTATCAGCTCCTTCTTGGGCTGTTGCTGCAAGTTCATCTGCTTAATTGCAACCTGAAATGAGGGCGGGGAACAGGGAAGAGGAATAATTACAATTAAGTCTCTAGTCGTCTGAAGCTGGATCTAATTTAAGTTTCCAACTCTTGTGTCCTTTGTCACAATTCTGAATTGGAGCGAATCGGGGAGCAGGGGTCGAGAAGAGAGGCTCAAAATCAAAGCCAGAACATCTCTCATTTAGTGAAACGGCTCCAGTATCCCCATAACACTTACCTCCTGTCCTGTAGCTACATCGATCGCCGTGTAAACTGTCCCTGAAGCTCTGAAAGGAAGGACAACCCGTTAAGGCATGCTTTTATTGTAAGTGTTCAATAAATAAATGTTCATAAATGCACAAAGTAAAACACACGTACTCAAGTATATAAATCCCACATCTGAAATAGTACAGGAAAGCAATCCTGAAGCCATCTTGATTCTTCATGACCCCAAATATTTCCTCTGCGGAAGGAAATATTTGGAGAAACCTTTCCCATTATTTCTTTTCACTTACAAATCATACAAATCCTGTCTTAAGGGCATATTTTCTGTATGAATAGGGTACGGCCTGTGTGACCTACTTACCGTCTCAAAAGAATGGCCAGGCAACCCAGGTAATGCAATCGTTAAAATATTATCAGGTCATCTTGACGGACAGGAGAGAAGCTACCTCTTTCTGTGATGTATGGGTGGTCTTTAGCTAAGGGGTTGGGCAACTCCTAAAATCATTAAATGTTCCTGTGCACTTTGTTCTTTGTCCTCACCTCCTTGCAAGGGGTGTGTGTGTGTCTGCTGCAACCTAAAAATAAAGATCTCCCTTTCTTCCACTGGATCCTGCCTCCATACATTATTCTCTGACCGATCGTGGACTTTTTGTTGTTGTTTAGTCGTGTCCGACTCTTTGTGACCCCATGGACCAGAGCACGCCAAACACTCCTGTCTTCCACTGCCTCCTGCAGTTTGGTCAAACTCATTTTAGCAGCTTCGAGAACACTGTCCAACCATCTCGTCCTCTGTCATCCCCTTCTCCTTGTGCCCTCCATCTTTCCCAACATCAGGGGCTTTTCCAGGGAGTCTTCTCTTCTCATGAGGTGGCCAAAGTATCGGAGCCTCAGCTTCAGGATCTGTCCTTACAGTGAGCACTCAGGGCTGATTTCCTTAGGAATGGAGAGGTTTGATCTTCTTGCAGTCCATGGGACTCTCAAGAGTCTCCTCCAGCACCAGAATTCAAAAGCACCAATTCTTCGGCGATCAGCCTTCTTTATGGTCCAGCTCTCACTTCCATACATCACTACTGGGGAAACCATAGCTTTAACTATACGGACCTTTGTTGGCAAGGTGATGTCTCTGCTTTTTAAGATGCTGTCTAGGTTTGTCATTGCTTTTCTCCCAAGAAGCAGGCGTCTTTTAATTTCATGATTGCTGTCACCATCTGCAGTGATCATGGAGCCCAAGAAAGTAAAATCTCTCACTGCCTCCATTTCTTCCCCTTCTATTTGCCAGGAGGTGATGGGACCAGTGGCCATGATCTTAGTTTTTTTGATGTTGAGCTTCAAACCGTATTTTGTGCACTCCTCTTTCACCCTCATTAAGAAGTTCTTTAATTCCCCCTCACTTTCTGCCATCAAAGTTGTGTCATCTGCATATCTGAGGTTGTTGATATTTCTTCCGGCAATCTTAATTCCAGCTTGGGGGGCTCAGAATCCCTTGGGGAGATGGGCAGCAAAAGCCAACTCCAAATCTTTCTACAACAGCATTAACACACTAAATGATCAATAACACACTAGACTATGGGTGATATCCAACTTTAGGCAACTTCAGAACAGACCCATAGAAATCCATGGACCTAATGGGTCTACACTGTGACCAAGATTTAGTTGTGTATCACCCCGTGAGCTGTCACACAATAATCTGTGTTGCAGGGCACTGCCATGACTGCAAAATGACATTGCTGCTCTAAGAATACCAGGGAAGCTAGTTAAATAACCAGTCGCCCCTGGTAACAGGAACATAGGAAGCTGCCTTATACAGAATCAGACCATTGCTCCATCTACCTTAGCACTAGTCAGCACCTAGACAGCATCTTAAAAAGCAGAGACATCACCTTGTCAACAAAGGTCCGTCTAGTTAAAGCTATGGTTTTCCCAGTAGTGATGTATGGAAGTGAGAGCTGGACCATAAAGAAGGCTGATCGCCAGAGAATTAATGCTTTTGAATTATGGTGTTGGAGGAGACTCTTGAGAGTCCCATGGACTGCAAGAAGATCAAATCAATCCATTCTTAATGAATTCAGCCCAGAGTGCTCACTGGAAGGACAGATCCTGAAGCTGAGGCTCCAATACTTTGGCCACCTCATGAGAAGAGAAGACTCCCTGGAAAAGACCCTGATGTTGGGAAAGATGGAGGGCACAAGGAGAAGGGGACAACAGAGGACGAGATGGTTGGGCAGTGTTCTCGAAGGTACCAGCATGAGTTTGACCAAACTGCGGGAGGCAGTGGAAGACAGGAGTGCCTGGCGTGCTCTGGTCCATGGGGTCACGAAGAGTTGGACACGACTAAACAACTAAACAACAACACCTTAGCTCTGTCTGAACGGACTGGCACTGGCTCTCTAAGGTTGCTAGCAGGGAATGATGCTATCTGGAGATGCTATTGGGGTTTGTACCGGGGATTTTCTACGCATAAAGCAGATATTCTGCAACTACATTATAGGCCTTCAGGGGAAGTTAGCCTGTTGCAAGCCAGACTCAGCTAAAAACAACCACAGATAGAGGAGAGTTTGGAAAAAGAATAACTCAAGTTAAGTGGCCTGCAAGTAACTTAGGTAAACAAAAGCTTGGTAGTCAGTAGGAGGAAGCCAAGGTTAGTCATTCCAGCAGAGCTTCAGAATTCTTGGGTGTTTTACTGAGGCTTTGTTTCCCTTTGGCGGCATCACTGCACAGCAAGAGCCAATTGGTTGTATGGCGCCGTGACATCATTCTGCTCTCACGACCATCGCTAATTGGTTGGGATCACGCTGGGAGGGAAGGTTAGCAGCCCCAGAATAGACCATAGAGAAGGTGAACACAATAGCTGTGAGAGTCAAGAGCGTTTGTGCGCGCGCACACACACACAAAAGGAATATTGTGCGCACCTTTTCATCCTCACTGTTTTAGAGGCAAACATTCAGCTAATTTTAACATGCTTAAGCTTGACTTTCTCTGAACTGCTCTCTGCAAACGCTTGCCAGCTCATTTCACGTGACATCAAGGCAAACGCTCGCCTCGGCTGAAGATTTTCACAGCTCGGACTGTGAGTCAACCTCTTCCCCAAGCCCCCATAGGTTTCGTTTGTGGGTGACTGGGTCAGCCCCCGCACTAAACAGGCGTGGCGCAGAGGCCTCGCCACGCGGAGACTGACTTCCACGACGCGGCACGGCTTCTGATTGGCTGCAGGAAGCTCCTGCAGCCAATCAGAAGCTGTGGACACCTCTGGGCACCGCCTCTTCCTTCCCACTAAGGTGGCTAAGCGGGAGGAAGCGGCTGAGGGGGAAGGAAGTGGCATAGGCAGGGGGGCCTTTCAGGAGAGGGGGTGCTTTCGGAAGGGGGTGGGTCCAGCCCCCCACAAGGTCTGAAGGACAGTGGACCGGCCCCCTCCTGAAAAAGTTTGCTGACCCCTGCTCTAAACTAATGTTCAAAATCTGGGCTCATCTTATACACAGATAATATCTCCCCCCATTTTCTTAAATCGGAGTCCCCAAAAAATAGGGGGTATCTTATACATGGGGGCATCTTATAGACGGAAAAATACGGTATTTGCTTTGGTTTCTTTAAAACTGCTGTTTTCTACTGGAAGATGTGTGTGGATTTGAGTCAATCAAATCAGCTATGACTGCTTTTTCACAGCTCAGCAGCTGGAGAGCGTGAGACTCTTAATCTCAGGGTCGTGGGTTCGAAACCTACATTGGGGGGAAAGATTCCTGCAATGCAGGGGGTTGGACTGGATGACCTTCGGGGTCCCTTCCAGAGCTACAATCCTATGATTTTATAGAACTGTAGAGTCATCTCGTCACACCAATCAAACTGGGAAACAGCCCAGGGATTTTTAAATTTTAATAAGTCACAATTGTGTTCAGGCGTTCAGTCACACACCTGAGAGCACAGATAATTGGAATTCAGTAATATGCCATCACAACTGGTCACTATGCTCTAGCAAAGTATAAAAGGCATTTTGAGAAATTCCAGATCCATGCTCATTTCATGCTGAAGGCAGAAGAGGTGAAGGAAGCCGGAGACCATATACTAACCCTTGCCCGATCTTCTCAAAACTTGTATATTTCTTCTTGGGGTCACCCACACTCACAATACCTCCTTCAAAAACAAAAAAGGGAAAAGAAAAATTAGGATAAAATGAAAGAGCTTTGGAAGGCCGCTCAGCTCTCCTGAACAAACAAATTTAAAAGCAAGCATGACAGAATCTGAGCTGATCAAAGCTCCTTGCAAGACCTCAGACCCCTGGGAATGCAATTAGCTTTGCTAAGCAGATAAACTAAGGACACGTTCACCTGGTGCCATCTCTGTTGCCTCTTAGGCACTGGGCAAAACCATTCCTGTTGTCTTGTGATTTAAAGTTCCCTGGTATTCAGGAATATTGCTTTAGCTGTCAGCTGATACATTAATCAATGTGGCGTTGCTGTTTTCGTCCTTTATATGAGCTGCCTTCAGGGTGCCTCCATCAAATTGTCAGGAGCTCGTCCTACACTCGAGTAGGACCCTGGCAGAGACACATGCCAGACTGGCATGTTCCCTCCCTCCTGGTCGATCGTTCGGGAGCTTCATAAGCTTCTTCTGCCTGAACATCACAGCGACCGATGCCAACCGACACCGGCACACTTAGGGATCTGCAGAGTTGGCGCAACTTGCGTGTGACAGACCTCAGCAACTCAGCATTTTGGCTAATCTACTTTATTTACATATAAACACACACAGAGCACTGCAACATGGCTCCCTCTCTCTCTCTCTAGCATCAGACAGCAAAGAGAAAAAGAACAAAGGACAATAGTCCCACTTCACGGAACACAGCAACACAAACATCCTGTCTCCGTCACTTCCCACTCTGTGGAGTCAAAATATACCACGTCATGTGATAGGCAAAAATCCCATGACTGCAATCATGGAGCAGGAATTCTAACACAAATATGCATTATATACAGGGTATATAAGTTCTATATGAGTCCCATGCTGATCCCAATCCACTACAACTAAGATATATGAACAGAAATTATAAGATATATTTCACAGATGGAAGAGATGGCCCTTGCGACTCTACAATTCTGCGATACCGAGCAAGTCCTCTGTGGGCTGTTTTTGGACGGAGACGCTCTAAAGGTTGTTGATTACCTTACTGACCCTAGGCTTCGTCAAAGTCTGCAAATACAGTGGTACCTTGGTTCTCAAAGGCCTTGGTACTCAAACAACTCGCAACCCAAACACTGCAAACTCTAAATGTTACGATTTGTGGACATTTTTCAGAAGCCGAACGTTCTCCGTTTTGAGTGTTACGCTAAGGTCTGTCTGTTTTTGCTATTTATTTTGTGTTTTTGAGGATCTTTTTTGTTTTTGTGACTGTCTGGAACCCAGTTCAGCTACTGATTGATTGAATGTGTGACCGCAGTACATTGTTTATTGCTTTCATTTTATGGATCAATGGTCTCGTTCAATAATGAAATTCATGTTAAAGGTAAAAGAACCCCTGACCATTAGGTCCAGTCGTGGCCGACTCTGGGGTTGTTGCACTCATCTTGCTTTATTGGCCGAGGGAGCCGGTGTACAGCTTCCGGGTCATGTGGCCAGCATGACTAAGCCGCTTCTGGCGAACCAGAGCAGCAGGTGGTGGGCAGGAGCAGGGACTGAGAAATAGGAGCTCACCCTGTCGCGGGGATTCGAACCGCCGACCTTCTGTTTGGCAAGTCCTAGGCTCTGTGGTTTAACCCACAGCGCCACCCGCTTAAAATTCATGTTCAGTTGCTGTTTTAGGGGTCTTTTTTTAAAGTCTGGAACGGATTAATCCATTTTGCATTACTTTCTATGGGAAAGCGTGCCTTGGTTTTGGAACGCTTTGGTTTTGGAACAGACTTCCGGAACGGATTAAGTTTGAGAACCATGGTTCCACTGTACTTCACTCTTGCGCATGGGCGTGAATGCATTTTGGTGTCTTAAGGAACAGCGCTCACCGTCCAGACATCTGAAATAGAGGGAAAGCCATGTGGAGGACAGGTGTACCAGCAGGCTAAACAGAATGAGCAGGTTGGGCCATAGCATGCTTTCCAAAATATATAGTGGGGTGTGGGTCAGAGGACAGGCAGCAATGAGAAGGCTGTTGCATTCGCACACGACCAGAATGCTTTCTCGAAGCGTCTGGTTTGCCACTTTTGGAAAACACGATGGCTTTGTTCCCATCCAACAGGGCCGCTCTTGCATTCGAAATGTTTTTGCATTCCCCAGCAAGGGTAGAATACAGCCTCACACATCCCAGGGTTTTGAAAGTGACAGGAGCTTCTAGGATGGCTCTGACATTCACACCTAACACACAAACACATGCACACAGAGTGCATCTCTCCTCCTTTGAAGAAGCTGAACCCACAAGCTGACACCACTGTGAGAGGATTCAGGAAGCTGGGGTTTTTTGAAGAACGAAAACATCTCTTCGGTGTCGTGAAAGTGCTAAATTTTGCACAAGGTGGAGCCTGCGGAGTGTGTGTGTGTGTGTGTGTGTGTGCGACAGAGATAGAGAGAGAAGAGTGCAGTTGTGAAGTGGCGACAACCTCACAGTGTGAGGTGACCTGAAATATATCCATTTCCCTGAGGTCCCATTCGAAAAACCCAGCAGTGAGAAGACGTACTTAATTTCTCCAAGATTTCCTCGTCTGTCATTTTGGGTTTCTTTTTCTGCTTCTCCGTACTCCTCGCCAACGTGTCTGGAGGGGTCGTGCTGTTTTCGGAAGGCGATGGGATCGGAGAGGTGGCCACGTCTCGGGTCGGGGCTGGAGGAAGAGGTTCGATCACCGACCGGGTGTATATCTGCGGGGAGGGGGGGTAGAATATATATGTAAATAAAGGTAAAGGGACCCCTGACCATTAGGTCCAGTCGTGGCCGACTCTGGGGTTGCAGCGCTCATCTCGCTTTACTGGCTGAGGGAGACGGCGTACAGCTTCCGGGTCATGTGGCCAGCATGATTAAGCCGCTTCTGGCGAACCAGAGCAGCACACGGAAACGCCGTTTACCTTCCCGCCAGAGTGGTACCTATTTATCTACTTGCACTTTGACGTGCTTTTGAACTGCTAGGTTGGCGGGAGCAGGGACCGGGCAACGGGAGCTCACCCCGTCGTGGGGATTCGAACCGCCGACCTTCTGATCAGCAAGCCCTAGGCTCTGTGGTTTAACCCACAGCGCCACCCGTGTCCCATATATGTGAATAGTTCTGAGGTAAATCAAACACTACCAACGGCTAAAAAGGAGGTTCTTGCTTAGTCCCAAACTTCCTGAGATTCACCACTGCAGTACACAGTGCTGGAGCCCTGTGAAATGTGACTCCAAAACTGGTGGCCAAAACTGCAAATCCAGTGGGTGGTTGTTTAAAAGAGTTGGCCAAAAAAGGCATGGCCAAATTTGGCCCTCTAGCTGTTTTGGGACTACAGTTCCCATCATCCCTGACCACTGGTCCTGTTAGCTAGGGATGATGGGAGTTGTAGTCCTAAAACAGCTGGAGGGCCAAGTTTGGCCAAGCCTGGCCTAATAGGTCTGCAAAAACGGCTGCAAAAAATCTGTGTGGGAAAGGAGATTAACACAGATTTTGGGATCAGCTGGGAAGAGCCTCTAGGCTATTGAAAATGGCTTGATTAGCAAGGAGTTGTGGTTAGGAGTGACATCTAGGCGATGACTACTTTAAATCTGCAAAGGGAGATTCGCACTGAAAACAACAATGAATTTACAAGCTGCAGTTGCAATTCAGCTGGCTGAGAACATGAATGCCTGGCTTCCTATAATGGAGCCTCTCTCTAGGCCCAAACTGAACCTTCCTTCTCACGCTACCAGAGCAAAAGCTGAGATTTTTTTCTAAAGGAGACTTTGTTAACAACATGCTAAAAATGTTGTGATACTGTGAGAGCACAGAATAGAGAACTGAGTGCAAAATCCCAGCTCCGTTCTGAGAAAGAAAAATACAAGCTTTTTATGGTTCGGGAGAGATGCTTAAAGCATCTGTAGAATCAGAGAGTCAGCTGAACGATGCCTCCCTTTGTTGAGGGAAGGTTTCAATGCCCTGCCTTAAAATGCAAAAGTAACACATATTTGCTCTTTATACACAGGTCACAGAACTCAGCGGTGACTTAGGACAGGCGTATGTTGTTCTGAATCTGGGGAAATGATAGTCCGGACTGTTGCTTTCATACCCTGCTAGCGAAAGTGTCTAGAGCAGCCTTTCTCAACCTGTGGGTCCCCAGATGTTGTTGGACTACAACTCCCATCATCCCTAGCTAGCAAGGCCAGAGCTCAGGGATGATGGGAGTTGTAGTCCAACAACATCTGGGGACCCACAGGTTGAGCACCGCTGGTCTAGAGTTTCTCAAACTTGGGTTTCCGGCTGTTGGACTACAACTCCCATCATCCCTAGCGAGCAGGATCAGTGGTCAGGGACGATGGGAATCGTAGTCCAAAAACAGCTGGAGACCCAAGTTTGAGGCATCTGGCTAGCCAACGACTTAATAACATAATTCTGCACTTTTAAGCAATGGAGCAGGGCTTCAGGAATGGAGCTGGGCAGAGTTCAAATCCCTACTCATAATTTATATAATAATATTTTTTTATTATTGTGGTTACGTTCATGCAATGGATAGGGGCCTGCCCTACACCCAGACGACATTATACTTGTGGGGCAGAAGACACCCGAATCAATTCTCCGAAGACCCAATGCCTTTACTCAAGAGGGAGCCCAGCCGCTTTGAGACTTCTACTTACGGACTTCGTGTGCTCGGGTCGGGGAGCGATGACTGGGGGAGGGGCAGCATCGTCTTCATCATCTTCGTCCTCCGACACAGGGGGGACGGCGGGGGTCTCGGACACAGCCTTCACATTCTGCACGGAAAGGAGAGGTGCTTAGGAGGAAGGGAAACGAAACCACAGCAAGCTCTCAATTCACGCACACTTAACTTGTGCGCCTTGAGGTTCACATGCTTGGCAAAACAAATTTAAGAATATTATAAAAGTGACGGGCATCTGGGGGGAAAAGGCTTTGGCAATCCCACCCGCCGTTGAACCTAATGTGTTTGGATTAGACGCAATTTTCGCTGCAGGCATGATCCCCGGAACCTACGTGTAAGTTGTGGGTTTAGTGTATCTGGATGGGAATGTATAGCAGGCCATGAGTTGAAGAAAATGTTTAAATTAACATTTGTAAATAAAAACCCAGAAGCATTTTTGTTAGGGATTGTAGGAAAAGACCTGCCAAGGAAAATCAAGAACATATTTATGTATGCGACAACAGTCTTAATAGCACAAGAATGGAAGAATGAAGAAACCCCGACAAAAGAACAGTGGCAAGAGAAATTCATGGACTATGCGGAACTGGCAAAATTGACGTACAAACTGTGTGATAAGGGCAACTGCTTTGCCAAGGAAAGCCAAACTTTCCTCCTAATCTGTTTTTCTCCTGCTGGCAAATTCAGCTGGCCTGTTTTCTTTCTTCCTCATAAAAAGAAGACACTTTAAAAAAAAGAAAGGAGGTGGGGGGAGACTGCGGATCTTGAAGGAAGTAATGTTTAGAATCATAGAATTGGAAGGCAACACGAGGGTCATCTAGTCCAACCTCCTGCAATGCTGGAATCGTTCGCCCAACGTGGGATTCGAACCCACAACCCTGAGATTAAGAGAACTGGGCTCTACCGACGATGTCACAAAAGCTAATGTATTTCAGGTCAATTTACTAGATCGTGGGTGGGGGACGTTCCTGAGCCCGAGAGCCACATTCTCTATTGGGAAGCCTTTCGGGGGCCGCATGCCAATGGTGGGCGGGGCCAGAGGGAAAACATGGGCGGGACCATGGATGTCATTTCGTACAGCTGGCTGCATTCCAGGCCGGCAGAAGTCAGAGATTCACAGAGGCAAGTAAGCAAGCCGGAAGCATTATCAGCATAGTTGACAAGAGAACAGGATGGTCCATTGAAAGGGGTCTGGGTTCGAGAGACGGCGCATTGTGCTGCACAGCTGCAGTTTGCCCACCCACACGTAGATGGTAGGAAAGTACAGTGCTAATGTTGCAGATTTGCATCCTATAAGGTAAAAAGGTAAAGGACCCCTGGATAGTGAAGTCCAGCCAAACATGACTATGGGGTTGTGGCGCTCATCTCGCTTTCAGGCCGAGGGAGCCGGTGTTTGTCCGCAGACAGCTTTCCCGGTCATGTGGCCAGCAGGACTAAACCACTTCTGGCGCAACGGGACACCGTGACAGAAACCAGAGCTCACGGAAACGCCGTTTACCTTCCTGCCACATTGGTACCTATTTATCTACTGGAACTGGAGTGCTTTCGAACTGCTAGGTTGGCAGGAGCTGGGATAGAGAATTGCCAATCTTCTGATCAGCAAGCCCAAGAGGCTCAGTGGTTTAGACCACAGCGTCACCCGCGTCCCTATCCCATCCTATCCTATCCTATCAGGTGGTCAGAGCTCAAGGTGCCTTGGTGGAATGCAACACAGAAATCTTTCAGGTAACTCATATGAATCTAAGCATGGGTGATTCAAGAATTATCTTAAAAGAGGCCGTCACCTAGAATGGCCTGAGCAAAGAAGATACTCACGCTTAATATTTTGGTGGCAGCAAAGGTGGTCTTGGAAAAAAGGGACAGTATCTGTGTCTTCTATAAAGAATCACAGAACTGTGGATTGGGAAGGGATCCAAGGGTCATCTAGTCCAACCCCCCTGCAGTGCAGGAATTTCGACTAAAGCAACCATGACAGATGGCCACCCAACCTCTGCTTAAAAACCTCCAAGGAAGGAGAGTCCACAACATCCCGAGGGAGTCCGTTCCACAAGGAATGACTTTTGGCAGCTCGTGAAACTGCATGTATGGATAAGGGTATAAATTGGGCATATTAAAGAAAGAGACATGCTTTTGAATTCTGGTGCTGGAGGAGACTCTTGAGAGTCCCATGGACTGCAAGAAGATCAAATCGATCCATTCTGAAGGAAATCAGCCCTGAGTGCTCACTGGAAGGGCAGATCCTGAAGCTGAGGCTCCAATACTTTGGCCACCTCGTGAGGAGAGAAGACTCCCTGGAAAAGACCCTGATGTTGGGAAAGATGGAGGGCACAAGGAGAAGGGGACGCCAGAGGACAAGATGGTTGGACAGTGTTCTCGAAGCTACCAGCATGAGTTTGACCAAACTGCGGGAGGCAGTGGAGGACAGGAGTGCCTGGCGTGCTCTGGTCCATGGGGACACGACTAAACAACTAAACAACAACAACAAAGAAAGAGACACGTCGGCCAATTAAAATATTCAAAGAAAAGGCAACCATTTGCAATGTTTTGTAATCAGATCCGTGCTTCCAAAAGGCTGAACCTTCGCATAACTTCAGGTGGTTATTATAATTTATAAACAGCCATTTATTTTTAAAACGGAAGTGCGGGGGGCGAGGGGAGGGAAGAGACCGTTTGCCACCGCCACGTTTGAGAGCGAAGCAATTTCCCCCAGACTCGCTCTTTAGAAAAACCACCAGACGACATCAAAGGCAGTTCGTTGGCACAGCAACGTGCTCTTGCCATGCTAACGAAGGACACTTTGGCCGACGGCCCACGCCAACTGCTTTGATTGCTCTGGTTATCAAAATGTTCGCTGGGCACTTTCTCGCTCGCTCTCCCCGGACTTCTTTTGTTCGGGAAGCGCTGCTGTCTCACCTGCTGGGTAATAAGAACGCCACATGCCTTTTGTACCTGACAAATAAAACACATCCCAGTAGTGATGTATGGAAGTGAGAGCTGGGCCATAAAGAAGGCTGATCACCGAAGAATTAATGCTTTTGTATTATGGTGCTGAAGGAGACTCTTGAGAGTCCCATGGACTGCAAGAAGATCCAACCGATCCATTCTGAAGGAAATCAGCCTTGAGTGCTCACTGGAAGGACAGATCCTGAAGCTGAGGCTCCAATACTTTGGCCACCTCATGAGAAGAGAAGACTCCCTGGAAAAGACCCTGATGTTGGGAAAGATGGAGGGCGCAAGGAGAAGGGGACGACAGAGGGCGAGATGGTTGGACAGTGTTCTCGAAGCTACCAGCATGAGTTTGACCAAACTGCGGGAGGCAGTGGAAGATAGGAATGCCTGGCGTGCTCTGGTCCAGGGGGTCACGAAGAGTTGGACACGACTAAACGACTAAACAATAATAAAACACTTATTCTTTTAGATGGGCCAGGTGGAAAGAGGGCACCTCCACTGAAGTCTTGAAAAGAGTTTGGAAGGTGGCAGAAAGTGCCTGGGCAAATTCTCGCTCCCGCCTGCTTCTGGAGAAAACTGGTGGGCAATCACTCATTTCTGGAACACTTGGGGAAGACAGGGAGAAGTTAAAACTTCCCTCAGTCCCTGATAAACCCACATTTTTAAAAAGGGCTTTGATCCTATATCTCTGCTGCCTTGCAGGATATTGTAGAATCGTGGAATTGTAGAGTCGGAAGGGACCCTGAGGTTCATCTAGTCCAGGGGTCAGCAAACCTTTTCAGCAGGGAGCCAGTCCACCGTCCCTCAGACCTTGTGGGGGGCCGGACTATATTTTTTTTTTGGGGGGGGGGGGGAATGAACGAATTCCTATGCCCCACAAATAGCCCAGAGATGCATTTTAAATAAAAGGACACATTCTACTCATGTAAAAACACGCTGATTCCTGGCCCGTCCGTGGGATGGATTGAGATTGGGCGATTGGGCCGGATTGGGCCAGATCCAGCCCCCGAGCCTTAGTTTGCCTACCCATGATCTATTCCAACCTCCTGCAGTGTGGGAATCGCAACTAAATCACTGGTGACAGATGGCCATCCAACCTCTGCTTAAAAAGCTCTGAGGAAGGACAGTCCACAACAATATCTTCGGCAGAAGAAAAATGAGCACGATCTCTCCAAAGTGAGAAAGCCACATGAATGTGTAGGTGTTAAATACAGATGTCTAGTTTTATTCGTTCTTTGGAAGAGATGGTTTTAATGCAATTACATCATGCCTACTATTTTTCCTGCGCTTATTTTCGATTTCAACTCGAGTGTGTGTGTGTGTGTGTGTGTGTGTGGTTTTTTTCCTTTCTTCCGGCAAGAACAGAACAACCACCACAGTAGCAAAACTAGATCACCTTCCCAATTTGCAAAACAGTTTTTCCAGTCCTGCCAGTTCTCCCTGACTTCAGATTCATTTCACTTCCCTTCTGTCCTTAGGCCTCACCTGAACTTTTTAAAAGGGAAAGCAAACCTCTTGAGCTGCTGTCATTCACAGCGGCTGAAAACAGGCCAAAATTCCACAGGTGAAGCGTGCCCCTGCCTGGAAGCACAGTGCCAGCGGATATTTATATACCTGTGGAGTTTCAGGCTGCCGTCCAGTTACTGGAGGCACTAACACTTATTAAGAAATAAGGAAGGCCTTGTTGGATCAGTCCAAAAGCCCAGTTAGACCAGCATCCTTCTCTCACGATGGCCACAAGTAGGACCCGGGCACAATAACACTCTCCCCCATTTGTTGTGCAGGTGAGATTCAGGTTTCAAATCCCCACTGAGCAATGAATAAAAGAAGCGGTCCTTATAGCAGCTCGGTCTAAGGATTCACCAGCACGAAATGTTTAAAGCAGTATCTCAGCGCTGTAAACATTCATGGCTTGCCCCCTTCCAAAAGCATCCTGGGAACTGAAGTTTGTTAAGGGTGCTGAAAGTCCTTCGCGGACCCCCTACTCCTCTCGCAGCGCTACAATTCAGCTGCATATTCCTGCAATGCTTGGGGTTGGACTAGATGAACCTGAAGATCCCTTCCCCCTCTACAAGTCTATGATTCTCAATTAAATTAATAATTTAATTAATTAAGGGAGCTGGGCATGTTTAGCCTGGAGAAGAGGAAGTTAAGGGGTGATATGATAGCCATGTTCAAATATATAAAAGGATGTCACATAGAGGAGGGAGAAAGGTTGTTTTCTGCTGCTCCAGAGAAGCGGACACGGAGCAATGGATCCAAACTACAAGAAAGAAGATTCCACCTAAACATTAGGAAGAACTTCCTGACTGTAAGAGCTGTTCGACAGTGGAATTTGCTGCCAAGGAGTGTGGTGGAGTCTCCTTCTTTGGAGGTCTTTAAGCAGAGGCTTGACAACCATATGTCAGGAGTGCTCTGATGGTGTTTCCTGCTTGGCAGGGGGTTGGACTCGATGGCCCTTGTGGTCTCTTCCAACTCTATGATTCTATGATGATGATATACTAGGACCCTCGTACCTACGGGACCGCCTCTCCCGGTATGCCCTACGGAGGACCTTAAGGTCCATAAATAGCAACACCCTAGGGGTCCCGGGCCCTAAGGAAGCCAGATTAGCCTCAACCAGAGCCAGGGCCTTTTCAGCACTGGCTCCGACCTGGTGGAACGCTCTGTCTCATGAGACCAGGGCCCTGCAGGATCTGATTTCTTTCCACAGGGCCTGTGAGACAGAGTTGTTCCACTTGGCCTTTGGCTTAGAATCAGTTTGATTCCCTCCCCCTCTTTCCTTTTTCCTTTCTCCTCCTGTGATGAGGCTGAATTTTAATGTTGTATTTAATCTTGTTTTTTAAGTTGTATTTCAATTAACTTGTTTTTATTATTGGTTGTTAGCCGCCCTGAGCCCGGTCTTGGCTGGGGAGGGCGGGGTATAAATAAAATTATTTATTATTATTATTATTATTATTATTATTAATACCCCACCCATCCAGCTTGGTTTCCCCAGCCACTCTGGGGCGGCTTACAACACATTAAAAATTGTAAAACATCAGATTTTTTAAAAAAAATATCCGATACAGGGCTGACTTCAGATTTCTTCTAAAAGCCAGGTGGTTGTTTATTTCCTTGACATCGGATGGAAGGGAGTTCCACAGAGTGGTTTAACCTAAGGTTACCAGATTTTTTTCCAATGAATCCGGGGACACTTTTCAACTTCCTAGTAAATAGATGGATTTTGTCAGGGGACTGATTTGTAAATCCGGGAAACGGGGACGTCCGGTAACCTGAGTTTAACTATCAAATCCTTCCTCCCCAGGAACTCTGGAAATTGTAGCTCTGCGTGGGGGAAAGAGGACGTCCTTGCAACACTCTGCACCCATAACAAACTACAGTTCCCAGGATTCCTTTGGGGGGAGCCACGACTGGTATGAGACTGCTTTAAATGTGCAGAGCAGACAGTGGCAATCATCTACTCCAGTTTTCCAAGTTCTAAGGCGGACACCTTTCCCAGGAACTGCTGTGTGTGGAAATGACAGAGATTCAACTTCAGGCCTTCTGCATTCAGAACGCCTGTTCCTGCTTAAGCCTGTCTCGTTCGCCTGAGCCCCTTAGCCTGTCTCTTAGCCAATAATAATAATAATAATAATAATAATAATAATTTATTATTTATACCCCACCCATCTGGCTGAGTTTCCCCAGCCACTCTGGGCTGCTCCCAATCAAATGTTAAAAACAATACAGCAATAAATATTAAAAACTTCCCTAAACAGGGCTGCCTTCAGATGTCTTTTAAAGATAGGATAGCTGCTTATTTCCTTCACATCTGATGGGAGGGTGTTCCACAGGGCGGGTGCCATCACCGAGAAGGCCCTCTGTCTGGTTCCCTGTAACCTCACTTCTCGCAATGAGGGAACCGCCAGAAGGCCCTCGGTGCTGGATCTCAGTGTCCGGGCTGAATGATGGGGGTGGAGACGCTCCTTCAGGTATACAGGACCGAGGCCGTTTAGGGCTTTAAAGGTCAACACCAACACTTCGAATTGTGCTTGGAAACGTACTGGGAGCCAATGCAGATCTCTCAGGACCGGTGTTATGTGGTCCCGGCGGCCGCTCCCAGTCACCAGTCTAGCTGCCGCATTCTGGATTAACTGCAGTTTCCGGGTCACCTTCAAAGGTAGCCCCACGTAGAGTGCATTGCAGTAGTCCAAGCGGGAGATAACTAGAGCATGCACCACTCTGGCAAGACACTCTGCGGGCAGGTCGGGTCTTAGCCTGCGTACCAGGTGGAGCTGGTAGACAGCCGCCCTGGACACAGAATTAACCCGTGCCTCCATGGACAGCTGTGAGTCCAAAATGACTCCCAGGCTGCGCACCTGGTCCTTCAGAGGCACAGTCACCCCATTCAGGACCAGGGAATCCTCCACACCTGCCCGCCCCCTGTCCCCCCAAAACAGCACTTATGTCTTGTCAGGATTCAACCTCAATCTGTTAGCCGCCATCCATCTTCCAACTGCCTCCAGTGAGCATAAGTGAGCAAACTGGCCGAAATCGAAGGTGGGTATACTATGGCCACCATTGGGGTAGCACAGAAAAGGTATCTTAAAGGAGATTACCCATTTACTTGCACATCTGCCACGGTGGGATGGGAGAGGTGGAGGCTGGGAAACGAAGATGTGATGCAGAGATGGGGAGCCTATTTCTCTCCAGCTCCTCTCAGGCCCCAAAGCCCACCAGCCCCAGACATGATGGGAGCCACAACCCGAGTGCCACAGGCCCCCATCCCTGATGCAACACCACCTATCACAATGCTCTCTTTATGCCAGTGACATCGGAGGGGCCTAACCACACACAAACTGGGAAGCAGGGCAACAGATAATAGAAAACCCCAAATACCGTATTTTTCGCTCTATAACACACACCTAGTTTTCAGAGAAGGAAAACAAGAAATAAGAAGCCTCCTGAGCAAAGAGGGAGCGCTCCTTCCTCTTCACTCAGGAGGCTTTGTGGGGCTATCCCTGAAGCCAGGAGAGCAAGCCTCCTGGCTTTCCGCCGACCTCCCGCTCCTTAAAGGGAGCGCGGTTGTTGGGGGCTTTTCTGTCCCTTCCCCCACCTCCCGCAAAAGCCAGGGATAGCTGTGCAAAGCCTCCGCAGGGCAGCAGGATGAAGGCTCCCCACTGCCCTGCGGCGGCTCCGCGCAGCTAAGCCAGAAGCTATAACAGCGAGAGGGAGCATTGTGCAGCGCTCCCTCTCGCTGTTCTGGCTTCTGGCCTAGCCCACGAAGCCTGCATTCACTCCATAAGACGCACACACATTTCCCCTTACTTTTTAGGAAGGGGAAAGTGTGTCTTATAGAGCGAAAAATACGGTACCTATCACCCCCTTCCCTTCAGAACAGGACATAAAGTCTTCTCACACATTCCGCTGAAAGCCATCAAGTATTTGGAGATGGCGTTTATAAGTGGTCCATGTTTCACAAGCATACAGTAAGGTTGGTAGTACAATAGCTTTGTAAACAAGCATTTTGGTTTCCCTGCGAATGTCGCGGTAATCAAACACTCTGCACTTCAACAGGAGAAAATTGAAAGATTCCATCAATGGTGTCTCCAAAAAATTCTACATATCACTTGGGAAGACAGGCAAACCAATGCCAGTGTACTAGAAGAAGCAAAGATCACCCATGTTGAAGCAATGATTCTTCAACATCAACTTCGTTGGACTGGTCATGTTGTTCAGATGCCTGATTTTCATCTTCCTAAGCAACTGCTCTATTCCGAACTTAAAAATGGAAAGTGTGATGCTGGTGGTCAACAAAAGAGGTTTAAAGGCTGTCTCAAGGCAAATCTATAAAAAAATGAAGTATAAACACCGATAACTGGGGAACACTGGCCTGTGAGCGCTCCAGTTGGAGAGCAGCCTTTACCAAAGGTGTCATGGACTTTGAAGACATTCAGACTCAGGATGAAAGGGAGAAACAAGCTAACAGGAAGGCACGCTTGGCAAATCCACACCGTTCTCAACTCCTGCCCGGAAACCTGTGTCCCCACTGTGGAAGGACGTGTAGATCCAGAATTGGCCTCCACAGTCACTTATGGACTCCCTGTTAAGACCGTGTTCATGGAAGACAATCTTACTCGGCTACGAGAAATCGCCAAAGAAGAAGAAAATTTGGTGTAGTGATGGGGGTAATGGGGAACCTGTGACTCCCCAGATGTTGCCATGCTATCTGAGGCACATGCAAACTGGAGTCCCTCAATATTGAAAGCGTCACGCAGGTTCTGCATTCCAAGTGATGACTATAGGGCTTGGCAGCGCCCAACAACCAACAGATTATCAGGTGCTTAGGAACCGCTGAGCAAGGTGGTTTTGCAGACCCCAGATTCCCCACCCCTGAGTTAGGGACATATCAGCCTCCTGGTTTTAGCGTTGACTCTGCCTGCGATTGCAGCCTTCAATATAGCTACAAGACTGAAATTAGACTTACCAGCGTGTTGGAGGAGTTATAGTCTTCTGCAGATTTATCTGGAAGGGGACAGAAAAACAGAACATCTTTCAGATTCCCTACACATGAAATCAAATTAAAACCAAAGGCAATCCAGAACAAACCACTGAAGACCAATTCTCTAAAATCACCAACAGAAAAGGCAAAGAGACGAAATTTGCAGAGCCATTCGTTTCAGAACAACCTTTCCTCCATAAGAACTTTGTAACCAAGAGCTAGTGCTGGAATTTGCTTTCTTCCTCCTCCCTCCCAATCCCTTTTCCTTTTGTGCTGTTTCTTTTCCAATTTAAAGCCGAAGGCATCTTAGAACTGACCACTGCAAACTGATCTGGCTGAAGAGTGGGGTAAAAATACTTTAAATTAATAAGGGTTACACACTTTTAGTCCCCCGTCCAAGACTTCTCAGGATGAGAGGCTTAAACATCACATTAAAGGAAAAGGTAAAGGGACCCCTGACCATTAGGTCCAGTTGTGGCCGACTCTGGGGTTGCGGCGCTCATCTCGCTTTATTGGCCGAGGGAGCCGGCGTACAGCTTCCGGGTCGTGTGGCCAGCATGACTAAGCCGCTTCTGGCGAACCAGAGCAGCGCACAGAAACGCCGTTTACCTTCCCACTGGAGCAGTACCTATTTATCTACTTGCACTTTGACGTGCTTTCAAACTGCTAGGTTGGCAGGAGCAGGGACCGAGCAACAGGAGCTCACCCCGTCGCGGGGATTGGAACCGCCGACCTTCTGATCGGCAAGTCCTAGGCTCTGTGGTTTAACCCACAGCGCCACCGGTGTCCCTAAACGTCACACTGAGGAAGGGCTAAAACAGACCTGCTTCAACCACCAAGAAGAGAGCACCTACCATCTCATTTTTAATCACTTAAAATGTTCAGAAACCAAAGCGTGGCTTCTGATTGGCTGCAGGAAGCCCCATTGGACGTTCAGCTTGCAAAAGAACGTTCGAAAACCGGAACACTCACTTCCATGTTGCGTTCTTTCGGGAGCCGAAATGTCCGAGAACTGGGCTGTTTGAAAACCAAGGTATGACTGTACTGTTGAATTTACCTTAATCCTCCTAACACACACATATAAATATAAATAACACCACCAGAACATCCAGCAGGTCGGTTTGTAGGCAGGATATGTGCAAATTCTCTTGGCGTCTCAAAAAACAACAACAAATACCTCATAGGCAAGCCAAGTAAAAGCTGACCAAGCGCACCTGACTACCTGTGCAAGGAAGGTGAAATATACTCGGAGTTGAGAGTGGATTTCATGCTCTTTATTCAGCTCATAGTGGTGAGGAGGAATGCAGGTTTCCCCACAATATCTGCTTTATATACATTATTTACACAATGGGCTGCACATGATTGGCTAATTCCGGGATTCTCCTGTAGGCCAATCAGGTTGCGGATTCACTTCCACCTGGAGATGGATTGGGTGGCTCCTGCAGACCAATCAGACTACTGCATTGTTCTAGGACCAATCAGACTGCTGCATTCTGAAACCTATTGTTCTAGGACCAATCAGACTGCTGCATTTTGGATCCTATTCAACTCAGTACATAACAGAAGGGTTTCTCATCCACCCACTCATCATGACCTACCTGTGAAGCTCATATACTTCTGGCTATTGGAGGTCTTTTTGGAATTGTAGAACTCCAGGACGTCGAGCACGGCCTGAGGGTTCTTCTTCTGCTCCGATTTGGTGATGTTGGAGGTTTGCAGCAAGCGGGCCCATTGCTCAGGCATCCCCTGGGAAGAAGGCAAGCAGTGCAGCCATGAGGACGGTTTTGTAGCAACACGGGAAGATGCCTTGCACAGAGTCAGACCATATAGCTCAGGACTGTCTGCACTGAATGGCAGCAGCACTCCAGGATTTCGCACAGGGAGAAATCCCGGCCCTGGCTAAGAATGCCAAGAATTGAGCCTGGGACCTTCTGCACGCAAAGCAGAATGTTATAAATAATAATAATATTTATTATTATTATTATTATTATTATTATTATTATTATTATTATTATTTATACCCCGCTCATCTGGCTGAGTTTCCCCAGCCATTCTGGGCGGTTCCCAATCAAGTGTTAAAAACAATACAGTGTTAAATATTAAAAACTTCCCTGAACAGGGCTGCCTTCAGATGTCTTTTAAAGATAGGATAGCTGCTTATTTCCTTCACATCTGAAGGGAGGGTTTTCCACAGGGTGGGCGCCACTACTGAGAAGGCCCTCTGCCTGGTTCCCTGTAACTTGGCTTTTCGCAGCGAGGTAACCGCCAGAAGGCCCTCAGACCTTCACCTCAGTGTCCGGGCTGAACGATGGGGGTGGAGACGCTCCTTCAGGTATACAGGACCGAGGCCGTTTAGGGCTTTAAAGGTCAACACCAACACTTTGAATTGTGCTCGGAAACGTACTGGGAGCTAATGCAGATCTCTCAGAACCGGTGTTATGTGGTCCCGGCGGCCACTCCCAGTCACCAGTCTAGCTGCCGTATTCTGGATTAATTGCAGTTTCCGGGTCACCTTCAAAGGTAGCCCCACGTAGAGCGCATTGCAGTAGTCCAAGCGAGAGATAACCAGAGCATGTACCACTCTGGCGGGGCAGTCCACGGGCAGGTAGGGTCTCACCCTGTGTACCAGATGGAGCTGGTAAACAACTGCCCTGGACACAGAATTAACCTGTTCCTCCATGGACAGTTGTGAGTCCAAAATGACTCCCAGGCTGCGCACCTGGTCCTTCAAGGGCACAGTTACCCCATTCAGGACCACAGCAATGGCTGCAGTTTTATTACCTTAAGCATTCCCACCCGGGCAACTCACGCATAAAGAGCAGCCTTTATGCTGGTGCCAAGCTGGTGCCCTCTGGATATTGTGAACTACAGCTTCCGCCAGCACAGCTGGCCAAGGCTGCTTAAAAGAGCACAAGGTGTGTTTTTTTATGGAGGGGGTGGGGATCAAAATCAAGGTGCCACTCAGTTCAGCATGCATTGTTAAGAGAGCCGTCATATTTCAACAGTTAGGGTGCTCCCCGATCAGCCATGGGTGAGCGTAGCTCAGCTACCTTCTCTCACAGCCCATCCTACCACAGAGTAGGGCTGGGAGATACCATGTTTTTCGCTCTATAAGATGCACCAGACCATAAGACGCGCCTAGTTTTTGGAGGAGGAAAACAAGAAAAAAGATATTCTGAATCCCAGAACCCAGAACAGCAGCGCAGCGAAAGCAGCGATACCTCTTGCTATTCTGGCTTCTGGGATAGCTGCGCAGCCTGCATTCACTCCATACGACGCACACACATTTCCCCTTACTTTTTAGGAGCAAAAAATACGGTATATCAATAGATCATCCAAAACCACTTTGGAAGTCCATATCGTGATGTCGGTTCCATAAATTGGGTCCTCCCTTAAAGAGGGCACGTGTTGTGGTGAGACCTGGATAACCGACACCCTGTGTTGTGGGTGGGTACGATTGATCAGCCACAACACCGACTGGTAGGTACCTCATAGAAGGTAAAGGTAAAGGGACCCCTGACCATTAGGTCCAGTCATGGCCGACTCTGGGGTTGTGGCGCTCATCTCGCTTTATTGGCAGAGGGAGCTGGCGTACAGCTGGTGGCCAGCATGATTAAGCCGCTTCTGGCGAACCAGAGCAGCGCACGGAAACGCCGTTTACCTTCCCGCCGGAGTGGTACCTATTGATCTACTTGCACTTTCGAACTGCTAGGTTGGCAGGAGCAGGGACCGAGCAATGGGAGCTCACCCCGTTGCAGGGATTCGAACCGCCAACCTTCTGATTGGCAAGTCCTAGGCTCTGTGGTTTAACCCACAACGCCACCTGCGTCCCAGGTCCCTCGTAGCTGGGTGCAATCTGGCCAATGGGACGCAGTCCAAACGGTTCAAGGGACCTATTTATGCTCATGCACGTGACCCAGAGCTTCCTCTTTCAGAGCGTGCATTCGGAACACCCACCCACCTCTCCCTCCTTCTAGGCCTTTGCGCTTGACCTTGCTATGCTGTTGTGTGTTGTCTGTCATTGGGACAGGGGCACGGCAGGAATTTCCCCCACTTGGCTGATGGGCTGTTGCCTTTTGGGTTTCGCCTGCCGCGTAGCAAATCGTCACAACTTGTAAGGTTGCGGATAGGCTCTGGTTCGGGTGATAGGGATGGGAGAAGGCTCTCGCCATCCCTATGTGAAGGGTATTCCGTTAAAGGAATCCAGGGACTCGATGGTTTGGTCAACCCCTGAGAGGGGGTTGTGCCCATGCCTGAGTCCAGGGGGCCATTTGGGTGGCGGAGATAGCCTGTTCCCGGCTTTCCGCTTATCCAGGTGTTCACCCTTGGCTGACCTATGCCAGAACCCTGGGTCAGCGCTACCTGCATGGCAGGGAGCTAGTCGAACCAGAGCCTATGCAACCAGTCACTTTCTGTAATCAATAAAGTTATGGCCTAAATTCTGCCAAAAACCAAAAGAGTCAAATGTGAGAGTCAAATGTGAAATTATTTAGGGGGGAGGTTTCTGGGTCTGAACATGCAATTTTTGACCTGGCAATATACAGTGATACCTCGGGTTACATACGCTTCAGGTTACAGACTCCGCTAACCCCGAAATAGTGCTTCACGTTAAGAACTTTGCTTCAGGATGAGAACAGAAATCGTGCTTCGGCGGCCCCATTAGCTAAAGTGGTGCTTCAGGTTAAGAACAGTTTCAGGTTAAGTACGGACCTCCAGAACGAATTAAGTACTTAACCCGAGGTACCACTGTATCGCGAATCACGCTCTGTGTGCATGCTATGCAAAAATCAGCCAATGCCTCTACAAAGCTCCATTCTTATTTAGGACATCGTGATGTTATCAGTATATTGCCGATGATAATATTGCAGTGCTGAAAACCAGGTATCGCCCAGCCCTAAAACGCAGGGTTGTTTTGAGGATAAAAGAGCGAGGGCAAGACACCACGGTGAGGCCCATGAATGAATCGCTGGGTAGAGAGAAAATAAATACCCCAACCATCAGTTACTAAATAGATCACCGATGGCCTGCAATTTATATCCATCAGCACAACAGGTAAGAACCGTCCACCATTTCCATTCATATCTCTCGCTGCCACCCCTCACCCCGGCTGTCCCCCATTCTCCTTACTGTGAATTCGCCTGTGACAGCATCAAACCCAACGTGAATCGTGTGCTCAAAGTCGGAAGGCAGGGAGATCTCAGGGCGCTCTTTCTCCTTCTTCTTGTTGGCTATTTGAAGGGGAAGAAAAAAACCATCCCCAAAAGGGAAGGAACTACGTTAGCCAGCACTGTTACTATCGATTTATATAGACAGACAAGACAGTTTTATACTTGCTTCAAATCAAGTCTTACTGACTAGTGATTTAAATCAAATCCACCCTGGTCTGGAAAGCTCTGAGCCATGGGGAAAGAAGCTGCCATATTGATAAGAGGATTGGCGCACAAGATGGAATAAGCCCCCACTCCCAGGTCTTTCTCAGCACAGACCAGAGAGCTCATGTTGACGATCACCTGCAGGCTGCTGAACTACAACTCCCATAATCCTTGGACTGGAGCCTGGCTGGCGACGATGGAAGTTGGGTCCTGCAACATCTTCAGGGCAGCAGGTTCCCTATTCCTGCCCTAAGCAGCTTGGGAGCAGGTTATTTGACTGTACCCACACGGACCTGCTAAACCTCAAGAGCCCTTGCACTTAGCAAACTACGGTTCCCAGGATGCTTTGGGGGGAAACCGTGACTGTCGAAAGTGCTAATGAAGTCCTTTCAATGCATAGTGCAGACGGGGCCTTAGTGAGCTTAATAGCTACTACGGTCTCCTAAACAAGAGGGTAGGGCTGAGACTGATTTTTTTAAAAAATCCCCGAAGTTTTGTGGGCAGGCAGAAATTCAACTGATATGGCTCTTCCTCAGCTAGAAACCCAAGTATATGGAAAGGTTGCTCTTGCAGCTGTTAAGCATGGAGGCAGCTAGGGAAGAGGAAGGAAACTCACAATAACATTTTAGAGTTATATACTTAACAAGTTTTAGGAGGAAGTGCTGAACTGTATAACTCTGACTGTGCAGAAAAAGTTAAATCTCTCAGCAGAGAATATTCTTTCGAACTATATACCTGCAGTATGGAAATTAACAAGAGGACACCAAAAATTCTACGTGCCCTAATGGTGACCCTTTTCCTTTCTCCTTCTGTGATGTGGACTTCCCTGGTTTTTCTTCTGGCCCACGTAGGACCAGTCTGGATAGTTGGCCTTGGTGAAGATTTGACGTTTTCATCCCCAAAAAGTTTTTGATTTGAGTGTCTACTAAAATGAGGCTGCATTTTAATGTTGTACTTAATCTTGTTTTTAAGTTGTATTTTAATCAATTGTTTTTACCTGGTGTTAGCTGCCCTGAGCCAGGTCTTGGCTGGGGAGGGCGGGGTATAAATAAAATTTATTTTTATTTTTATTAAGAGTGATATTGATGAATTGGAAGAATATGAAAGCCTTGAATCAATAATAATAATAATAATAATTTATTTATACCCCACCCATCTGGCTGGGTTTTCCAAGACAACACTTGCAACTTATGAACAGTCTGCTTACAGATATACTTTGTTTGGATAAATATGATAACATTTGGAATGTCGTAGGCTATTAACGTTTATATATGCATTAAGATAATAACACTGTATCAATTTATGTAAGAAAGTATTAAGGGAGTATATTACATTGCATTTTTAAAGATTCCCACCCCCCTTTCTTTTACATATCTTTGTTCTCTCCCCCCCCCCATTTCCTCCCTTTTTTTCTTCGTACCACTTTATTTCTTTTAAATGGTAATTCTTTCAGTAAAAAACATGAATATTAGAACACAATTTTTTTAAGAACCTTTCGGAGTTAGCTCTTAATTTTCACATGGTATTTTAACGCTATCCTAAAGCTGTTAAAATGCAGAAACCCACGCTAACCAGGGGCACTCGGCTGCCCACTTTAGAGAGCCCCCCTAAATTAGCCCAGCGTGGAAGGTCCTCTGCTAATGCCATTAACGCTTTCTGTGTCCTTGCATAAGCAGTTTAAAAGCAAAACACACGACTGCAGCTACGGAGAACTACATTAATTACCTTCAAACCCTGTTAAATACCACAGGCCCGTACGTTGTTATGGGATGGGGGCGGATTACAAGAGCATACAAGCAACAGATGGTTTTCGCCGTCCAAAATCCAAAGAGCTTTGGCGGTCTGAGTCTCAACGCATTAAAATATTAACGCTATAATCTTTTTTTCCTTTTTTTTCTCTCCCCCCCCCCCCCCCCCCGCAATGCCAAAACACTGTACAGAGCAGCGTGAGGCAGGAGCTTACGGGGATTAGCAATTTTAAGGCCCGCTGAACCCGGATTTGCAATCTAATCCCTTTTGATAGCGTTTGTGGGATTTTTCGAAGGGGTCTTTAAAAGCAAGGCCAGAACTTTAAAACTTTTACAACCAGGATTCTTAAAAGCGGGCCTCTCCCTTCTCTAACGGGTTAATCTTTCCCCAAACTGGTAGAAGGTTAGCCAAAAACCACTGACTTCCACCAGGTTGTTGTGCAGAAGATCATGGCATGCTGGGACGCCAAATATAGGGGGCCAAAGGTCCTTCAGCCCACTCAATATTTGTGGGCCAGGGGCCAAGCTGGGCTAGATTACACTCCCTCTGGAGGAGGGGGTACGTGGTTTAGGGGTACTTCTGGACCCTCGGCTGCCGCTTGGGCCCAGCTGTGCCCCTATTTGGACAGGGATAGTCTAACTACTGCTGTCTATGCTCTGGCAACCTCTTGGTTACAGTAAAGGTAAAGGGACCCTTGACCATTAGATCCAGTCGTGGCCGACTCTGGGGTTGTGGCGCTCATCTTGCTTCATTGGCCAAGGGAGCCGGCGTACAGCTTCCGGGTCATGTGACCAGCATGACCAAGCCGCTTCTGGCAAACCAGAGCAGCACACGGAAATGGCGTTTACCTTCCCGCTGGAGTGGTACCTAATGATCTACTTGCCCTGGTGTGCTTTCGAACTGCTAGGTTGGTAGGAGCAGGGACCGAGCAACGGGAGCTCACCCCGTCGCAGGGATTTGAACCACTGACCTTCTGGTCGGCAAGTCCTAGGCTCTGTGGTTTAACCCACAGCGCCACCCACGTCCCTTAACCTCTTGGTTAGACTACTGCAATGCATTATACTTGGGGCGGCCCCTGAAGACAGTCTGGTGCAAAATTCGGCCGCCAGGCCACTCACTGGGACAAGACGGTTGAGCACCAATCATGGCTCGACTAAACTGGCAGCCAATTGGTTTCCGGACGTGATTCAAAGTGCTGGTTTTGACCTATAAATCCTTAAACGGCTCAGGACCAAAATACCTCAAGGACCGTCTCTCCCCATATGAACCGACCCGGCCCCTGCGACCATCATCTGTGGCCCTTCTTTGTGTGCCTCCTCCAGGAAAGGTCCGGAGGTTGGCAACCACAGGCGCCATCATTATATAACTTTGGGTGCCGGGCAAAAATATTTCTCTTCTCCGGGGCTTGGGCTAGTTAAATAATCTATTGCCTTTTAAATGTGTGGGGAGAGGAGTATCATTTTGATTGTTATGTATTTCTGCATTTTTATACTGTGAACCGCACCGTGATCCTCGGATAAAGGGCAGCATATTAATTTAATAAAGAAATAGTAAGGAAATACTATACAGTGGTGCCCCGCAAGACGAATGCCTCGCAAGACGGAAAACTCGCTAGATGAAAGGGTTTTCCGTTTTTTGAGGTGCTTAGCAAGACGAATTTCCCTATGGGCTTGCTTCGCAAGACGAAAACGTCTTGCAAGTTTGTTTCCTTTTTCTTAACACCATTAATACAGTTGCGACTTGACTTCGAGGAGCAACTCATAGAACGCAGTGTACATAGTAGCCTTTTTTGAGGTTTTTAAAGACTTTGGTGATTTTTGAAGCTTTTCCAAAACTTCTTTTGCAGCCATTTGGTAAGTTAAGCTTTTAAAACTTTTTGGGGGTTTGGATTTTGGGTTGGGGTGTTTGGAATTCAAGGACTTGGTGTTGGGGAGGGGTTTGCAAGAATCTGGAAGCTTGTGTGTTTCTTTCTGCATTTTTATGATTTTCTGTGACCATTGGGCCACTCTGCTGTTTTTTAAAAAAATTTCTGGATTTGAATTTCTGTGTGCTGGGTGGCTGGGGGAACAGTTGGGGAGGGGTTTGCAAGAATCTGGAAGCTTGTGTTTTTTCCCCTGCATTTTTATGATTTTCTGTGACCATTGGGCAACTCTGCTGTTTTTTAAAAAAAATTCTGGGTTTGAATTTTGAAATGCTCTTTACAGCATGTGTGACTTTAAAGAGCACTTAATAAACTCTTGTTGTACCAAATTTGGCTTTGTTTGGACTTTTTTTGACCATAGGAACGCATTAATTGATTTTCAATGCATTCCTATGGGAAACCGTGCTTCGCAAGACGAAAAATTCGCCAGACGAAAAAATTCGCGGAATGAAGTAATTTCGTCTTGCGAGGCACCACTGTACAAGGTATGGTTTCAATGTACGAAGCCCTACATAGCTTGGGAGGGGCAAAATATTCCCACATATCCAACCAATTGCTGTGTTTTGCAGGAGTGCACTCCACGGCTACCATTCTATCAGGAAGGTCTGATCCTCATGATGTCAGAATTGGGCCTTGTAATATGATGGTTCCTCTACCAATAGGATCTCTCTCCTATTAGTATCAGAGGGGGTGCCTTCTCTATCAGCTTTTCAGCCCCTGTTAAAGGTATTCCTCTTTCAACAAGCCTTCTAAAACCCTTATCCCCGTTGGCATCTAACTTGGAACTACAGTCGCATCTTGGAAGCTGAACGGAATCCATTCGACTTCCAAAACGTTCAGAAACCAAAGCACAGCTTCTGATTGGCTGCAGGAAGCTCTTGCAGCCAATCGGAAGCCGCAGAAGCCCCATCAGACTTCAGCTTCCAAAAATAGTTCACAAACCGGAACAGTCCCTTCCGGGTTTGCAATGTTCAGGAGCCAAAACGTTCGGGAACTAAGCTGTTTGACTTCCAAGGTACGACTGAATACTGATTTTGTGTCCGTGCGGTTGCTTTTTAAAAAAAAAATATCTATTTTTTTTAATTGTTTTCCAATAAGCAAGATGTTATATATTTAACTGTTTTATACATATATCGAAAATCACTTTGGGGGTGCCTCACGGGAAGCAATTCCTTCGGAAAGACTTTATTGATGTCCACATCTCCCTTTCTGGCCTCTCTCAAAGTCGCTGCTTATGTCTGAGTAAATATGTCGGCTCCAAACATATTTACTTGAGCCGCAAGTTCTCTCGCTTTAAAATAAAAATTGCACCCAAGGACGTGTCTTGAGGATTCTAGCCTCAATTAGAATTCTAGCTCAAGATTGCAACTTAAACCCAAGAGTAAACAATCTTGACTTGCTGCTAAAAATATGCAGAGGGTTTGTTTGATTTCTTCACGACTGAAGAAACAGCAATGAGATGTTTTCCTGATCTGACTTGCCGAAGCCACATCTCCTGCCGTTAGAAGAGTTTGCTTTTTAAACGGCAATGTGGCTGGCAGACATTCAACAGGTTAGGCATTTCCCAGCATAGAGATGCAGCGGTGTCGAAGCTTCACCTGTTGAGCTTTGGCCTGTCGCAGAAAGAGCCCTGCCAGAAAAAGAAGGGTGCGAAACCAGGATGGCAAGGGGCAACAGAGGTGCCATGAGACAGGGCTCCGTCAAATGATCCGAAGGGCTCGTGTCAATGAAACCAAGCAATTCCATTTCTTGGACTAGTCCAACATTGGACTAGATCAGGGACAGCCAACTCCCAATAGACTGCGATCTAATCACAGTATAAAAAAACTGGCATTGATCTAACCATTAGTATTATTAATAATTATTTAATTATTTATACCCCGCCCATCTGGCTGGGCTTCCCCAGCCACTCTGGGCTGCTTCCAACAAAATATTAAAATACAGTAATGCATCAAACATTAAAAGCTTCCCTAAACAGGGCTGCCTTCAGATGTCTTCTAAAAGTCTGGTAGTTGGTTTTCTCTTTGACATCTGGTGGGAGGGCGTTCCACAGGGGCGGGTGCCACCACTGAGAAGGCCCTCTGCCTGGTTCCCCGTAACTTGGCTTCTCACAGCGAGGGAACCGCCAGAAGGCCCTCGGCCCTGGACCTCAGTGTCTGGGCTGAACGATGGGGGTGGAGACGCTCCTTCAGATATCTAGCCAAAGTTGTGGAGCTTTTTTTAGTAAGCCAAAGATGTTGAGCTTTTTTTTAGTAAGCCAAAGTTGGGGGAGTTGCTTTTTTGTAAGAAGATCGCTGTGGGGCCAGAGATCAACCAGGATGTACCAGGAACACCCGGCGATCTACTAGTAGATCGCTATCTACCTGTTGGACATGCCTAGACTAGATGATCCCTGGACTCCCTTCCAATTCTGCAATTCTGCGACATGATTCCGAGACTCTAGAAACACAGAATCCTAGAAAGGTGGGGTTGGAGGGGAACCCAAAGGTCTCTAGTCCAACACCCGGCAATGCAGGGAATCGCAGTCACCCAACCTCTGCTTAAAAACATCCTCTTGGAAGAGCAGCGGTTTCACAGGGAGCAATTCTCAAATGAAATCAATGAGTGAGCAAAAGACAAAAATGAAGCCAGCGTACTTTTGTCTCCCGGTAAGATGGAACGGTAAAAGCGGTCCCTCTTCTTCTTCTCTTCTGGATTAGGAGGCAAAGGTTTGGAGCCGTGGTTCAAGGGTCCCGCCTCTTTGCTCCCGCTGCCTATCATCGTGCTGGTGTTCCTCATTGGAGGAGCTGGGGGCTTGTCTTCTGCTTCTAGGCCATTATTGGACATCTTCAGCGGCGACAGCTACAATTAGGATCAAAAGAAACACGGGGTTTGGACACGGTCAATTGAGGCGCACGGAAATTAAGCAGAGGAGGGTATACTGTATTTTTCCATGTACAATCATAAAGGTAAAGGGAACCCGGACCATTAGGTTCAGTCATAGCCGACTCTGGGGTTGCCGCACTCATCTCGCTTTACTGGCCGAGGGAGCCGGCGTACAGCTTCCAGGTCATGTGGCCAGCATGACTAAGCCGCTTCTGGTGAACCAGAGCAGTGCACGGAAACGCCGTTTACATTCCCACTGGAGCAGTACCTATTTATCTACTTGCACTTTGACGTGCTTTCGAACTGCTAGGTTGGCAGGAGCAGGGACTGAACAACGGGAGCTCACCCCATCGCAGGGCTTTGAACCGCCAACCTTCTGATCGGCAAGTCCTAGGCTCTGTGGTTTAACCTACAGCGCCACCCGCGTCCCCTATGTACAGTCATACCTTGGGTTAAATATGTACATAGGTAGGTACAGTCATACCTCGGGTTAAATATGCTTTGGGATGAATATTTTCGGGTTGCGCTCCGCGGCGACCCAGAAGTAACGGAGCGCGTTCCTTCCGGGTTTCGCCACTCGCACATGCGCAGGTGCTCAAAATGACGTCACGCACATGCGTGGGAGTGGCGAATCACGGACGTGGGTTGCGTTCACTTCAGGATGCAAACGGGGCTCCGGAACGGATCCCGTTCGCATCCAGAGGTACCACTGTATAACACGCTCCCGTGTATAAGACAAATTATTCGAATTTGTATCAAGGATTTTTTTATTGTAAATGCCCAAAGTCAACAAGAAAACCACAAAGACAAAGGACACACTCAGGTCAGCAAGTCGCTCTACATACAGAGCCAAAGCAAATATACAGGACGTTTCAATCAAATCCTCTTTTCCTCTCAGAGCTAGTTTCCATAGTGGTTTAACCATCAATTTCTCTTCTCAGGGAACTCTGGGAATTTTGACCTGTGTGGGGAATAGGGTTCGGCTAACAACTCTCAGCACCAGCATGAACTAATTGCAGCTCCCAGGATTCACTGTTTTGTGATGTAATTTTAAATGTATACCGTATATTTCGCTCTATAACACGCACCTGACCATAACACGCACATAGTTTTTAGAGGAGGAAAACAAGAAAAAAAATTCTGAATGAAACAGTGGATGTATCATTTTGGTGCTTCATGCTGTGGCCACAGACATGTGATTTGACGGTGAGTTTGGGGTAGGCCAATGCAAAAATTCTGAGAATCCATGTGGATCTGTGCTTTGTAACCACAGCAACCGAAAACAGCTTTTACAACTTTGTAAACAAAGCAACCGAAAACAGAAGAGGGTGGGCAATAAGACCCTGAGGCAGAATCCAGGAAAGCAGCAGCCTCCTCTCTGCAGCGCGCGATCTGATTTTTGCCTGATTTTTGCCCCTGCACTCGGGCCAGTCGGCTCCAGGGACCACACATTCGCTCAATAACACGCACAGACATTTCCCCTTACTTTTTAGGAGAAAAAATGTGAGTGTTATAGAGAGAAAAATACGGTAATTCAGATGAGGCCTGCCTACCTGGAGATGCCAGGGATTAAATCTGGAACCTTTTCCACGTGAAGCACTTCCTCTGTCACTGAGCTACTCCAACTCAAAAGCTTGCTCAATATTTTGAGACATTTTTGTTGGTCCAAATAAATGTATTGCCTTTTGGGGACTCCAAATTAAGAAATGGGGAGAGATTGCCCAGAGTTTGCGGGAAAGATTGAATGAATGAATGAATGATTCTTTATTTGCATCAGCCATCAGCCATAGCAATAAAACAACAATACGATATACAAAGAATAAAAATAAAAAGCCAATTATATAAAATACATTTTAGGGTTTTGGATTGCCCATAGTTGTTGAGCTTTCTTAGGGGGGATTGCTGAAAATCGCTCATCTGCCTGACCTACGCTGCCACTCGCACGCATAGCAAAAGCCTATCGTCTGCCTCTTTGCCAGCAGAAGCCGCCAATCGCTCGCCCAATTGCCGCAGTGACCGCCAATCAACACCAGCCCTTGATGCAGCCAACAATAACACGCCCAATAGCCACTGACAATCTCCGGCTCGCAGCAGCAACCAATCACACATCCCCCCTATGTACTATCCATATATAAGACGACCCCCAATTTTTAACAAAAATTTTAAAGCAAAACCCTCGTCTTATACACAGAAAAATACGGTATTCTGCTACAGTGGTACCTCGGTTCTCAAACGTAATCCGTTCCGGAAGACCATTCGAGTTCCGAAACGTTTGGCAACCAAAAACTCAATATGGAAGCCTCAATTCAATTGAGAAAACTGAAAAACACGCAGCGGAAGGAGGCAAATTCAAAAGCGGAAGCATTTACTTCCAGGTTTTCGGTGTTTGGGTTCCGAAACGTTTGTCAACGGAGACGTTTGAGAACCGAGGTTACCACCGTATTCCGCTGCCTTAAGAGCACTGGATTGGGGCTAAAATAAAATTTGGACCATGCTTGGAATGGGAACCAGTTCAGCAGCAGAACAAAGTTCACTGTATTCATTCAAAACAAATCTCTGAACTACACCTGAAAATAGTTCTTGTAATCATCGACTGAACTGACCATGAATTAAATTCATTCTGGGGTGGATCAGTAGTTCCCAAACTTTTTCCAAAACTCACCCCCAGTGCACCCTCCCCTATAAAAAGCATTATTCAGAAAGCAGCGTGCACGACTGCTAAGGAAGATAATATCACAATGACATTTGAAGCAGTCACGAATAATTGCATATTTATTCAAAATCCAATTAGAACTGTTTAGTTAAAATTCAACCAAACTGATGGATTGGATCTCGTGATCCCAGCTTTCTAACCAGCAGTCGCCGCTACCTGTGCCTTTGAAAGATCTCTGCAGCAAGCAAGAGTTGAGGAAGTCAAAGCTTTTCCAGTTATCGATTCAGTAGGAAAAGCTTCCCCCTGCTAAATTGCCACAGGTCAGGCAGCGGTTAGAAAGCAAGTGGCTCCAACTATTTTTAGCCACGTGCAAAAAGAGAAAAAGTTGGCGATGATGGCAGGGCTAGGGATGCCAGATGAAAAACTGGCATTGCCTGCTCTTGTGCCACCAGCAGCTGGCAAAGATGGAAGGAGTCAACAGAGGGGGGTTTCCACCCCAGTTCGGAGACCCAACAAGCCTCAGCGGTGCTTGGCCTGAAATGTATGTAAATAGAAGAAAGTACCGTATTTTTCGCTCCATAAGATGTACCTGACCATAAGACACACCTGGTTTTAGAGGAGGAAAACAAGAAAAAAAATATTCTGAATGAAACAGTGGATGTATGATTTTTGTGGTTCATGCTGTGGTGATTTGAAGGTGAGTTTGGGGTAGCCCAATGCAAAAATCCTGAGGATCCATGTGGTTCCGTGTTTTGTACCCAGGTTTTTGCGCCATTGCAACCCCACAAAACAGTGGATGCGTGATTTTTTTGGTGCAGGCTGTAGCCATGGACATGCTGTGTGATCTGATGGTGAATTTGGGGTGACCCAATGTAAAAATCCTGAGGATCCATGGGCTTTTACCTCCCCCCTCCCAGGCACCCTCCTTTATCTCTAGAGTCCCTTATCTCCCTTCTAATTGCTTACTGATCAGCTGCTTCCTTTTAGCACCCTCTTCCCTCTTGTTTGCCTTAGTGTCTTTTCCTTAGCTTAGAGTTTGATTATTTACATAATTTCTGCGTTCCATAATCTTATTGCGATTACACACCAGTCAGAAAAACAAACCCTTATACCACAGCTACAATTTTAGCGATTTCCATTCGCATTAACACATTAAATGATTTATAATCCTATAGGTGAAGCATTCATACTCTGTCTTTATTCTTCTTGTTCTGTCCATAGTGTTTCTTCCTGTCTTTGTACTATATTTGTGTGTGTGTGTGTGTGTGTGTGTGTGTATACAGTGGTACCTCGGGTTACATACGCTTCAGGTTACAGACTCCACTAACCCAGAAATAGTGCTTCAGGTTAAGAACGTTGCTTCAGGATGAGAACAGAAATCGTGCTCCAGCAGCGTGGCAGCAGCAGGAGGCCCCATTAGCTAAAGTGGTGCTTCAGGTTAAGAACAGTTTCAGGTTAAGAACGGACCTCCGGAACGAATTAAGTACTTAACCCGAGGTACCACTGTATATGTGTGTGTGTGTGTGTGTGTGTGTGTGTGTATCTGAGTGGCTGAAGAGGACCTCAACCTAGAGAAAGGTGAGGAAGAAGGTGTTAAAACATATAGCTCAACCGTCCTGATTTAAGTGGGATATCCTGGAATTACAGAAGCCATTCCTGGCTTCTGACTGGATCCCAGAATGTTTTTTTGTTCCGGCGCTCTGGTGAGTCTGCTGGCTCTCATGGGACCAAAAAAAATCTGAGCATCCCAATTTGGATCACTCGGATGTTGATGGGTACGGTAAAGTAAAAGGCAAAAGGTAAAGGACTCCTGGTCAGTTAAGTCCAGTCAAAGGTGACTACGGGGTTGCGGCACTCATCTCGCTTTCAGGCGGAGGGAGCCGGCATTTGTTCACAGACAGCTTTCCGGGTCATGTGGCCAGCAGGACTAAACCGCTTCTGGTGCAACAGGATACCGTGACGGAAACCAGAGCGCACGGAAACGCCGTTTACCTTCCCGCCGCAGTGGTACCTATTTATCTACCTGCACTGGTGTGCTTTCGAACTGCTAGGTTGGCAGGAGCTGGGACAGAGCAATGGGAGCTCACCCTGTCGCGGGGATTCGAACTGCCGACCTTCTGATCAGCAAGTCCTAGGCTCTGTGGTTTAGACCACAGCGCCACCTTTTACGTTATGGCAACACAGACTTGCTAACTATCTGGCACCTTCTGTAGATTACTGCATTACCTGCGGAATCACCCCAAGGAAGCTGGAGTCACTGCATAAATACTTGCAACCGGGACTCATATTTTGGGTATATTAGCCCACA